ATGATTGCGGATATAAATTCTTCGTCGAAACCCGATAAAAGCAGATGATTGCGAAAATAAACTTTTCTTTAAAACTGCTATATTCGCGAACATCCGGTTGGTTGACATCCGGTTGGTTGTGTTTTATATCTGGTTTGTGCACTCCCGCAATAATCTGAAATTATCTGTTTTTAACCGTCTCCCTTGCGTTTCGTTTATATCTGAATTTGTCCGGGATCATCTCCAAACATCTGCTTACGTCTGGTTTTATCCGCGATTATCTGCATTTTTTTTCGTCTATTTTTGTCGGGTTTTATTCGCGAGCATCTGCTTTTATCCGCAAACGTCTGCCTGGTCCAATTTACCCAAAAACATCGGCTTTTATCTGCGAACATCTGCTTTTATCTACCAACTTCGGCAATCACCCGCGAACATCTGCTTTTATCCGGCTCTACTGCATTTCGTTTATATCTGCATTTGTCCGGGATCATCTGCAAACGTCTACTTACATCTGGTTTTATCCGCGATTACCTGCATTTTTTTCGACTATTTTTGTCTGGTTTTGCCTGCAAACGTCTGTTGTTTTCCGCGAGTATCTGCTTTTCCCGCAAACGTCTGCCTAGTCCAATTATTTCACTCGCAAACATGCTTTTATCCGCGAACATATGCTTTTACCAGCGAACGTCTACTTTCATACGGTTTTACCCGCAAACATATATGCATATATGCTTTTATCTGCGAACTCCTGATTTCATCCGGTTAGTTCAGCCCCACGCAATCATCTGCTTTTGACCGGCTCCACTGCATTTCGTTTATATCTGCATTCGTCCGGGTTCAAAAAGTGTTTTTCAAACAAATTCCATACAAATTGAAGATGTTATAATTCCAAATGTATTTGAAATTAAACATATATATTTTCTAACAATTAATTTAAATGTATACTTAATAATTAAAAATTGATTATTTGTCTTTTAAAAAATACCTTATTTGTATTTTACCAAATAATATTTAAGTTCAATAAACTTATTTCTTTTACAGGTTGTTTTTATTTAAATAATTCCTTTTAAAGTTATAAAGTTTTGTGCCGTGAACGGCTAACAACAAGGTAGTTAAAGCTCAGTAAAATTTGACACAGCAGGTAAATTAAACTACCCAAGAAGACGTAAGGAAAACAAAAAGCGCGAATAAAACCAGACGTTTGCGTACGAAACAGGACCGAAATGGACAAGGAAATGCAGGCAATCACGGATAAAACCGAACACGGGTGAAAGCAGAGGTTTGCAATTAAAAGCAGATGTTTGCAGGTAAAATCGGACGAAAGCAGATGTTTGCGGATAATAGCAGATGTTTGCGGATAAAAGCAGATGTTTGCGGATTAAAACAGATGTTTGCGGATAAAAGCAGATGTCTGCGGATTAAAACAGATGTTTGCGGATTAAAGCAGGCGTTCGCGGACGAAAGTAGATCTTCGCGTATAAAAGCAAATGTTTGCAGGTGAAATCGAATGAAGCAGGCGTTTGCGGATTAAAAGAGATGTTTGCGGATGATCATCTCGAGATCAGACGTTCGCAGATGAAACCAGATGTTTGGAAGTAAAACCGAAAAAAATCAGATAATCGCGGATGAAATCGGACGTAAGCAGGCAGTATTGCGCTTCTATATGCTTTCTCCCGGTTTTATCTGCAAATACCTACTTTCGTCTGTTTTTACCCGGTTTTATCTGCATCTGCCTTCATTTACTTCTTTGCCTGTTTCCGTCCGGTTTCTTCCGCGATTATCTAATATCCGGTTTCACTTGCAAACATCTGCTTTCATCTGCGAACGTCTGATTTCATCCGCAAACATGTATTTCAATCCGCAAACGTTTGCTTTATCTGATTTCACCTGCAAACATCGGCTTTTATACGCGAAGATCTACTTTCATCCGCGAACGTCTGCTTTAATCCGCAAACATCTACTTTAGTCCGCAAATATCTGCTTCATCCGATTTTACCTGCAAACATCTGCTTTTATCCGAGAAAATCTGTTTTTAACTGTGAACGTCTGCTTTAATCCGCAAACATCTGATTTTATCCGCAAATCTGCATTTATCCGCGAACGTCTGCTTTTATCTGTGAACGTCTGGTTTAATCCGCAAACATCTATTTTAATCCGCAAACATTTGATTTCATCTGCAAACATCTGCTTTTATCCTGCTTTCGCCCGATTTCACCTGCAAACATCTGCTTTTGTACGCGAAGATTTACTTTCATTCGCGAAAGCCTGCTTTATTTCGCAAACATCTGCTTTATCCGATTTCACCTGCAAACATCTGCTTTTATCCGCGAAGATCTGCTCTCTTCTGCGAACGTCTGCTTTAATCCGCAAAAATCTCTTTTTATCCGCAAAAATCTCTTTTTATCCGCAAACATCTGATTTTATCCGCAAACATCTGCTTTTATCCTGCTTTCGCCCGATTTCACCTGCAAACATCTGTTTATAATTGCAAACCTCTGCTTTTACCCGCGTTCGCTTTTATCCGTGATTGCCAGCATTTCCTTTGTCAATTTCGGTCCTATTTCGTACGAAAACGTCTAGTTTTATTCGCGCTTTTTGTTTTCCTTACGTCTCCTTGGGTATACTTTAGTTTAATTTACCTGCTAAGTCAAATTTTACTGAGCTGGTTGTTAACCGTTCACGGCACAAAACTTTATAACTTTAAAAGGAATTAATTGAATAAAAACAACCTGAAAAAGTTTATTGAACTTCAATATTATTTGGTAAAATACAAATTAGGCCTTTGTTAAGTCATAATTAAACAGTTTTTAATCATTAAGTTTACATTTAAATTAATTGGTAAGTAGAACAAAATTATGTTTAATTTCAAACACATTTGGAATTATAACATCTTCAATTTGTATGGAATTTGAAAAACACTTGATAAACCCTGACAAATGCAGATATAAATTAAATGCAGTAGAGCCGGTCAAAAGCAGATGATTGCGGGGCTGGACTAACCGGATGAAATCAGGCGTTCGCAGGTAAAAGCATATGTTTGCGGGTAAACCCGTATAAAAGCAGACGTTCGCGGGTAAAAGCATATGTTCGCGGATAAAAACAGATGTTTGCGGGTAAAACCGGATCAAATCAGACGTTTGCGGATGAAACCAGATGCTCGCGGGAGATTGCAGATGTTCGCGGATGAAAGCAGGTATATGCGGTTGAAAGCAGATGTTCGCGGATAAAAACAGATGTTCGCGGATAAAAGCAGATATTTGCAGACAAAACCCGACAAAAATAGACGATAAAAAACAGGTGATCGCGCATAAATCCAGACGTAAGCAGACGTTTGCAGGTGATCCCGGATAAATGCAGATATAAACGAAACGCAATAGAGAAGGTCAAAAGCAGATAATTACGGATGATTGCGGGGGTGCACTAACCGGCTGAAATCAGGCGTTCGCGGATTAAAGCAGATTTTGCGGATAAAACCGGATAAAATCAAACGTGTTTGTCCTATTGTATATTAGTCCTTCGGAGGGGACTGCGGTCCGTTCCTACTTCTAACCCGCTCAAGCCATTCAGTTGGCTTCTGGGACTTCTTAGGAAGTAAGGGTGGAACTAAAAGAGAACTTTTGTTTTTTTTTTGTTTGCGAATAAAAGCAAATATTCGGGGGTGATTGCAGATGTTCGCAGATGAAAGCAGATGTTCGCAGATAATTGCCGATGTTCGCAGATAAAAGCAGATGTTCGCGGATAAAAGCAGATGTTTGCGGGTAAATTGGACTAGCAGACGTTTTCAGACAAAACCCGACAAAAATAGAAAAAAAATGCACGTAATCGCGGATAAAACCAGACGTAAGCAGACGTTTGCAGATGATCCCGGACAAATTAAAGAATATAAACGAAACGCAGTGGAGACGGTTAAATTTAACTGTTTTAAAACAGATAATATCAGATAATCGCGGATATAGCGATGCGGACAAAAGCAGATGTTATCAGATGATATTTTTACCCGCTTTTATCTGCTTTTATCCGGCTTCGACGAAGAAATTATATCCGCAATCATCTGCTTTTATCCGGTTTCGACGAAGAATTTATATCTGCAATCATCCGTCTTTCTCAGCAGGACACATTAAATAAATCCCTTTTTAAAGATATACAGTTAAAGTTCTGGGTTAGCGGAATAGCAAATAACTGGATCAAATCATTTTATTTGATTGAAGTTGTAATTGGAGATAAAAATCAACCCCGAGTGAAATAAAATCAGGTAATCAATCTTAGGACCATTATTATAATTAGGGTGCTTCAAAAAATAAAATTTCAATTTTTTTTCGCTCTTACCCTCTCAAATGTTTCTATTTAATATAAAAAAAAATCCTCACTAAATATGGGCGTTCCAGCTCAAGAGGTCGCTGTTTTTATTTTAGTTTCCCATTTAATTAACATGGTAAAAAATAATTTTGTTTGGAATTTTATACCTCTGTATCAAAGTAACTTATGGCAATGATCACTGCAGTTTCTTATATAAAATATAACGCTCTACAAAAAAGGTCTCTTATTATTTTTCGATAAATTGATTTCTTCTAGAGTTATTTGAGGTCAAAGTTTGATTAACATCAAATTTTCTGGTTTTTTAAATTTTATGGTACAATTAGCAGACGGGAGCTGAAAGGGGGCAAAACAAGGCAGCATTAATTAATTTTAAATAAAACAAATGACAATTCTGAGAATTGAATTCTCTAAATTGGATATATATTTTTTATAGGGACCAAGTTTTTCTTTTGTTCTGTGAAGTTTTTTATTAGTGTTTTTATTAGTCTTGTTTTGTGGACAACTTGGGATGTTGAATGTTGTATTGTTTTAAAAGATATATCTACGCTAAAAACAAGCTAGCAACAGCTCATTTATATAATTTATTGTTACTATAGCACAGTAGTGTTACAAGGGGCAAAAAAAATACTTAAAATATTTATAAATATGAATTCATTTACCTAATATTATACAAGTATATCTTAAGCTATAATACATCATATTTAACCAAATCTTACAAATACTTTATTATCAAAAATTCCAGAATTTTAATATTTATTTACCAATTCAATATTAAATACCGATAAAACAAAAAAATCCTAATCTGCAGGTTTAAGAGTAACAAACCTAGATACTATAAAAACAATTACAATAATGCTTAAAACCATGGTGACAAAAAATATGTAAAAAGTGTCTTCAGTGAAAACATCAGTAAAGGCAGGAATTTGGTTGTAAACATGTTGTATTAATTTAAGATTGTAGTCTTTTTGCGGTTTAACAACCATTTTCACTTCTTAACGCTTTTTCGCCTTTATTTTGTTGATTTTAGTAGTAACAGGCTTAACTGGATCTTCAGGTGGCACCTTAGAACTTATGTGTTTGTTTATTTGCTGCAATATCTCCAATACTGTCAACTTATTCGCTAAAAACTTAATGGACCTAAAAATTATCGATTTTTATATAAAATTTCAATAAAATTCATACAAAAACTCACCCAGAATCATTCAAATCAATCTTAATCTCAGGTTCGCTCCTATCACATACAACATTTGTCTTTATAAGGCAATTTAAGTTGGTTTCTGTTACTTTGGGCGAGGTAATGTGGTAAAGAAAATCTCTGGAACAAACAACAACAATTACGCGCAAGCTCGGTCTATATTTAGCTCTAAAAATCAATATAATAAAAAAGTTGGGTTATGTTACCTGGTCGTAACTGCATTTGGATGAAACGGGTCGAACTGCACATTTATGCGCTTAATTGGTTTAAGGTTTACAAGTTTTAATTGTTTGCTTATTGCTGAGATTACCCCAGCCGATTTTGTACGCGAACCGCTAAAGTATATGGACATTTTGATAAGTGAGGTTAAGCACTTTTGACAGTTCTCACTGTCAATTTCAAATAGGAAGTGTCTACTAAACCGCCTTGGTTTAGGGGTGTACTGTGTTGCTGTTTATCTGTACCCCAGAGCCAAACTGTATTAGGTCCACTTTTTTTCGAAAGTGGAATTTTAGTAGAAAATTAAAATTACTATTAAATTAATTTAAAAAAAAATATTTAAAAAAAAATGTTACCTTAAGTAGCCGAAAGGTATTTCCTTTTGTATGTAATTATTTTTGCACCTTAAAGTTTAATATTTCACCTATTACAAAATTAATTCAAAAAAAAGGATATTCGACTCACTCTACTGTTAAATAATATTAGGTTTTTTCGCGGTGCTAATCCCGAACGGACATCCTAGGCAGGGCCGAGCCGTGCCGGGGGTGCAAGGGGTGCATGGCACCCGGGCGGCACTAACACAGGGCGGCAAAATATCATCAAAAAAATTGTATCATATTATCAAGAATAAAATAGCCACCTTGCAATATGCAAAAAACTTTCTAAAAATCACTTGCGTTTTATTGATGTCGGCGTTTCAAAGAATCATCGTTTTTATTCTACACATAAAAACAATGCCAAAATTGTGCTGTCAGGCGGCAATGATAAAAAAGACATAACCGAACGCGCGATAGCCACAAAAAATGATGATGACAATTTTCTTAAAGCCCGGTTTATAGATTGCCGCCCGCCCGCTTCGCTTTCCGTCCGTCCGCTTCGAGTTCGTCAACACGTAGAGAAAAATTTTGCCAAAATAACCATCAAAAGTATTGTTAAATAGGATGCAAACATAGTAGTTTCTTTTGTCTTTTAATGCGTTTAAGTTAAAAACTAGTTAATGATTTAAAAGGCATCTTTCCGAATTTATTTGTAGCTTTAAGAATATTTTTGACGATGCCAGTTACTGTTGCCCATGGAGAGCGGTCATTTTCGAAATTAAAACTAATTAAGACCTATTTAATACCCAATATGAGTCAATTCAGGCTTTCAAATGTAGCAATTATAAGTATTGAAGAAGATATTTCTAACAACTTGGATGTAGGCGACTTGATTAGGGAATTTGCTATTAAAAAAGCGAGAAAAGTAGATTTTAGTTTTTTAGTTTAGTTTAATTATTTTTGTTTTTTTTCCTCAATGTATTTTTATTTTATTCTTTTATGTATTTGTTAATAAATACTTTGTTATTTTACTATAAAATTTGTTATATCGGCCATTTCAAGCGGATGGACGGGACAAATCACAAAACTGTTTTTATAAAAAAAATTGTAGGTAATTTATTATATATTATTTTTGCATCAAAATTGTCAAATATATTCTTCTTTTATTAGGTTATACATTAAATAAAAAAATCGCAAGAAATATTTTATAAAAGTAGAGATAATTTCAATAATTGACGGGGGTGGACGAGACAAGATAAATCTTTTTTTTGTCCCGTCCACACCTTTCAATTATTAAAATTATATCTACTTTTATAAAATATTTCTTGCGTTTTTTTATTTAATGTATAACCTAATAAAAGAAGAATATTTTTGACAATTTTGATGCCAAAATTTTATGTAATAAATAATCTACAATTTTTTTTATAAAAACAGTTTTGTAATTCGTGCGTTTGGCGCGCTTGAAATGGCCGATATGTTTATTGAGAATGATAAATTATGAACTCCTTCCCTACCGACAACCTAATTTTTTACATTAATGGTGGCGGCAAATTTAATTCTTGCACCCGGGCGGCAGATACCCTAGGCTCGGCCCTGATCCTAGGCATGCGCATTTTAATATTTGTCATGCGCACTTTTTTAACCCCAAATTTTAAAAAGCGCATGTCTATAGGATGTCTGGAATTAGTTCGGGATTAGCTCTGCGAAAATAGGTATTACGTCCATCGTTGGTGCCACCAACTTGGTGGAACTTGATAATAAATTATTTTAGAACCAATAATTTTATGTCCAGTTGTCAAACAAATTTTTGTTTTATTTAGCCTAACAATATTAAGTCAAACCCTTTTTAGTAAATTTTTGTATTAGGGGGCCGTCCATAAATGATGTCACACGTTTTTTTAATATTTACCTTGAAGTTACCATTAATTTTTGACCAATCAAAAGTAATTGTTGCGAATATTGGACTAGTACCAATGGTTCTAGTCTAATATTCGCAACAATTACTTTTTAAAGCGCTTTGATTGATTCACAGATGACAGGTAAAAATTTTTTACTCATAAGTCATTTTCTCGCACGAGGAGCGAGTTTTGTAATGGACGAAATCTTGTCTTTTGACATTAGTTCTTTAAAGAAGTAATTACTACACTATTATCAAAACCAAAATAATCAAATCGTATAATAAAATGTTTATGTCCACCAGTGTTACCAGATTCTGTCAAAAAAAGACCGTACGTTTCGTTCGAATTTACCTTAATTACAAAAATGACTCAATGGACAATATTAAATAACGTCAACTTGACATAATTGCATTTATTTGCATTGTTTCATTGTGTCATTTTGTAATTAAGGTAAATTCGAACGAAACGTACGGTCCTTTTTTGACAGAATCTGGTAACACTAGGTTCATTCCAACCAGCAGTAGAGATGTAAAAGTAACGAAAAAACTAATACCCGCATGTATTCGTTACTTTGAATGTGACTATTCGTTATAAAGTATTCGTTACTCGTTACTTTCGTTACTATAATACTTTAATTATACTTTACTTATTATATATGCCGCTGCCTAAAGAAAACATAAATTTTGATTACATTTTATTAAATTGGAGGATGTAGGTATAATAACTATAAATAAAAACTTAATAAAAAAAATTTATTGCAAAAATAAAATCAATATAATCAACACAAAATATTTTCTTTTGTAAGAAAAATTAACAAAAAAATAAGTAAGTTTCTAAACATAACGATAATAAATATGTATGTATATAAAATATATTGCACATTTATTTGGAAAAAAATCATATACATAAGATTTAAATTTATACTTTACAGTAACATAAAGAACAAAACATAAATACGCCTACCTTGTGAGGAAAAGTAAAGAAACTAAAAACCCATATAAAAACCTTCCTTTTTGCAAAGAACTCTTTAAAATAAACAATACCTAAATCAACGCGCGGCATAGATCACCTAGTCTATGGATCAGCTGATGTATCATGCACAGCGTACGCACAGTGCTGTGAGCGTATGTTGTATCATGCTGTGAGCGTAGGCAGTGTTGCCAGATTTCTTTTCAGCATGGCGCATGGCCGTAAGTATCGTATCGAATCGAACGAACGCTGCAGAGTACGTAGATACCGGACGAAATTGTGAGTGGCGCAAGTAACGAAACGATGCGAGTAACGAGACGTATTTTAAAGTAACGAATCGGTATTTCGAACCTCATCCAGTACCCGTTACTTTGTACCGAATACATACGGTTCGTCACATCTCTAACCAGCAGTAATATTACCGTAATATTATCGTCCGTAACAGCGTTAATGCGACTGCGCGAACAAAAATAGTAAAATTATTTTGAATAATGTATAAACTGGTTGGAACCTTTTTTGAACTGGTAGTACAGTGGCCGACACGGAATTTTGAACGACTATCATCCCGTTGACATCAAAATCTAAACTTTCTTCATGGACAACTAACCTTACTTTCGGTTATCACTAGTATTGTAATTTTGACAGCGAAAGCAAAAATGCTTAATATCTTTGCTATTTACAGATGTATACATTGACAACCAAGTTATGTCGTTCAAAATTCCGTGTCGGCCACTTTACTTACAATCAGAAGAAAAAGAATATAACCCAAAACCCACAATTGTATTGTGCTAAAAGCTAAGTAAAGCGCATAACCCACGTTTGTTGAGTTTATAAATATATATAAAAGTATATTTTAATAACATCACACATTGATAATAAATTCTTCCATTCCTTCTCACAAATGACAAAAATTAGATGTATTAACATTAAAAATTAATAAAATCACCTTGTATAGCAGTCATTTTTAAATAATATGTCCACTTTAACAGAAAACAAACTTACAATATTACAAACGTTAATAAATAAACAAAAAGATGAGGTTATGTGCCCCTTCTACGCATGCGTCTAATTTTATTATCAACAGTTCTTGCTCTCGAGCAAGAATCGTTTGAACCGTAATTTTACTGTCCGTAACTCTGGTTGGAACGACGAACTGACAGTAATTGCCAGTTCTAAACTAGTAATTTTAGTTGGTTGGAACGACATTTTACAAACGCGCATGTGTATCAGTAATATTACTGGAAATTACTGCTGGTTGGAATGAACCTACTGTCCACCTAGCATGCATTAGGCCAAGGTCTTAAGCCTGATTTATAGATTGCCTTCCCTTCTTCCTTCCTTCCGTAAAAGATGAACAATACGAAAATTGTAGTGCCATTTATAGATTTCCATACGGGAATCATCTTTTACGTGAGGAAGGGAGGAAGGAAGGCAATCTATAAATCAGGCTTTATATATACGTGCAATATGCAATTCCCTGTGCGGCGGTTGAGTAGACACTTCCATTCAAATAACGATTAATGATTGAGGTTAGAAAAGCTGTCAAATTTCGGTTTTAAATTTTTCAAAAATTTGTTGTCATTTTACTGAAAACTGGACGCAAATTTAAAGAATGAGTGAGTTTAAACTTCAGCACATGGTATCGGAGCTACTGAAAACATTAGGGTGTGTTTTTTAATTGTCAATTAATTGTAAAGGGAATTAAAATAATTGTTTTAGAGTTAATATTTCGCCTGAAAAATTGGTAGAGGCTTTACAAAAAAGCATAAATAATAATGCAGAGGCCAGTGCAGGGTCACAGGTTACGATACAAAGTAATTTACAGTATATTTCCAATCATATTGAGAATGGGCCTGCTTTTGTAGCCAAATTTGAAGATTTAAAGCAAAAAAAGTTAGTTTATAAATATAGGGTGTAATGTAAAGATAAAACATTGTTTTTTAGTGTTGATTCATTAAACTTATATGTCCAAATGATAAATGAAATTATGAGGAACCCAGATTTAAAGCGTTTTTTGCACAAAAACACACGTCCTGTTTCTTGTCAAAGAACACCTTTAACAACTGCAGATTTGCCCAACATTAAAAACAAACTTAAAAAAGCCACTGTAGATTCTAAAACACTGAATGTAATGTCGAATATTTCAAATACTTCACCATCATTGTCTTTAAACTCCACACCATCTGTAGTGTCGTGGGTTCAGAGACGGCCAAATATGTCATGGGATTTTTCTTCACATAATATGAGCAGTTTTATGCCTACTGTGCCTGTAGTGTCACAAGAAAGTATACTTATAGAGGATCTCCTTAATGTTTTGATAGGTAAAATACATTAAAATGTAAATGTATTTTTATTACAAGAAAACTTTAGGTTTGCCAGGTTGTTACATTGAGGCTGAAGAACTTAAAGATGTGTATGGTCCCAGATCATTCAAAATAAACGATAATGTTCCACTATCTTTAAGAGAACTGGTAAAACAAATATTACCACTTGCAAGTCATTATTCAATAATACAGAGATTTTGTGAGGAAAAAATGAGGTTTGAATTTGGACAAGTTAACAATGCTTTAGCTGAAAGTATGCGCTCTATTATTAAAGACCACACTGTAAGTTAAATGAGGTGTATTTTTGTAAGTATTCCCTAAAAAGTTCCATACAAAATCTGAATGTTTGTCAAACTTTTTTAAATGCTCTATAACTTTTACAATTTTGATTTAAATTTATTGAAATTTTCAGGGCATACTAAGAAAAATACGCTCTTTATTTTGGTGTTATTTTAAATTGTTAATTTATAGGTAGGTATACCTCAAAAATAGCTTTTAAAACTAGTTACATTTTTAACATTATGGCGCCCAACTTTTTTAATTTTTTTCCAATTTTAATGACATTTTTAATGTAAACTAACAAAAGTACGCTCGTTCTTTTGATGACATTTTAAAAATCGTAATTTTTCTGGTATATTTTGAAATAGCCTTGAAAACTGATGTTTTAATACTCAAGATTTTTTAAAAGCTCGTCTACACATTTTACCGGATTTTAATAAAATTTTTAGGGTATACTACATTGTAAAATGCTGTTAATATACATACTATTCTACCATCAATATTTTTTTAGTTATTCACAATTCAGTTGGAGAGTGAATTTAAGGCTGGTAACCTAAACCTACAAAAGTTGTGGTTCTTTGTGCAAAGAAACATGCAAAGTTTAGGTGTTACAGCCAACATTGCATCCACTATAAGCAAGGTAAAATATTTTAATTTTGTTACATATTTTTAAGTATTTTTTTTAGTCTGATGCAAAAGGTGGGAAAGTTCTGAGTTTGTTACATGATAAAATTGTTGAATCTATTGGGGATGAAAAAATTCAATTGTTGTGTGTAAAATTAATGGAAGCTGCTTGCGTACCATACATGAAAATGCTGAGCATGTGGATTTATAAGGGGATTATATCAGATCCCATAAAAGAAGTAATTTTTTTGTAAAACGGTTTGTAACTTCTACTCTATAAACGTTCTTTTAGTTTCTTGTGGAAGATATGGAGGTGGTACAAAAAGAAGACTTACCAGTGGACTATTCTTCAGATTATTGGGATAAAAAATATTCAGTGAGGCGTGAAAGAATACCGAAATTTTTAGAACCCGTCTCTGATATCATATTAAAATCGGGGAAGTACCTAAACGTAATAAGGCAATGCGGTAAGACTTTTTGCAATAACTTTATAACCACTTTTGATGATTAATTAAAATTTGGATAAATTATACACAAACAAACGCTCGTTCTTTTGCTTATATTTTTAAAGTGGTAGTTTTTCTGGTCTACCCTGCAATAACAGTTTTAAAATGTCTTTGTATGTAACATCTACAAATTTTGTCGGATTTTTATGAAATTGTCAGGGTATACTAAGAATAGCTATTTACATACCATACCATGGGAGAATAGTGCTTTTCCTCCCGCGAATAGTTTGATGTTTGATATTCAAGGGAGGAAACGCATTTTCCTCCTGAAGTATGTATGTATATAGTTTTTTCTATTACCTTTTAACGGTTTTAAGACATTTTAAGCGTTCCGGTTCCTTTTACTAACCCGGTATGGGGCTATAAAATTATGACAAAATATTAAGTAGGTGTTGCGTCGCCGTCGTTATGTTGACAACGCTTTGTTGCTATGGTATTTTTGGTAATACAAACATAACAGTTTTTATAAGCTGTCAGAATGTATCATAAATTTGAAATTCTTCCTACGTTTTGAAAATGAAAAAAAAAGAGGGAGGAAAAAAAATTTGGAGGAAAAAAAGAGGGAGGAAAAAAAATTTCCTCCCTCTTTTTTTTTAACAATTTTACATTGGCAAGAGTTTTTGTACCTTGTCTAGCCCTATTTGATTTTGTAGGAAAAAGATTTACTCCGCGCTTGTCCAACCATTCTTTTAACAAACTATAGGTATTCATTTTCATATCGCTCTTTCGATTTTTAAGGAAAAAAACGTACGAAGAATTACAAATTTATGATAAACAACCCAACAGCTTATAAAAACTGTTATGTTTGTATTACCAAAAATACCATAGCAATAAAGCGTTATCAACATAACGTCGGCGACGCAACACCTACTTAATATTTTGTCATAATTTTATAGCCCCATACCGGGTTAGTAAAAGGAACCGGAACGCTTAAAATGTCTTAAAACCGTTAAAAGGTAATAGAAAAAACTATATACATACCTCAGGAGGAAAATGCGTTTCCTCCCTTGAATATTTAATGCCCTTCGCTTCGCGTCGGGCATCAAACTATTCGCGCGAGGAAAAGCACTATTTTTCTCCCATGGTATGTAAATAGCTATTCTTTCTTCTGATAATATTTTTAAAAAATATTCCCTTAAAATACGATGTTTGACAAATCGACGCCCCACATAACAATTAACAAAAACTTATGTAACTTCTACAATTTTGCAGAAAATTTCAGGGTATACTAACAAAAGTACGCTCTTTAATACGCTGTAATTATATTTTTCTACTTTTAATATTCCCTAGGTAAACCCGTTAAAAACAAAGTACTTCCAATACAGTACAAAATTGAAGAAAAACATTATATTCAAGCCATTGAAGAGGCTTACAAATTCGCTAGTCAAACCTTATTGGACCTCGTGATCAAAGAAAAAGATCTCATTGGTCGCCTTAAATCTGTGAAACATTACTTTTTATTGGACCAGGGCGATTTTATCGTAACATTCTTAAGTTTGTGTGAGAAAGAGTTGGCTAAAGATGTTGGTGATGTAATTCAAGGAAGGTAGTATTAAAAATGTAATTTATAGTAAAAATATTAAAAAAATGTTTTTTAGACTTGAATCTTTAATGGACTTGGCTTTAAGACTGTCTAGTGCGGTAAACGACCCTTACAAAGACGATTTACGCACTATTTTGTTGCCATACGATTTACCATTGCAAATGTTGAAAATACTCAGCATACAAACAAGTTCAGAACAAAGTAAATACTATTAGTTTACAAAAAATTATTATTTATAAATAAAAAAAAATTTTCAGAGTATAAACTGCCCAAAGAATCCAAACGCCTCTCAGTAATTGAATCATTCTCATTCAGCTACGAAGTCCGGTGGCCTCTGTCACTAATATTAAACATAAAATCTTTAGCTTGTTACCAAATGATATTCCGACATTTATTCTACTGCAAACACGTTGAAAGAATGATTTGTCAGGTTTGGCATTCGAATAAAGTTGCGAAAAAGTTTCACAACCAAGATGCGCAACAATATAGAGCAGCTTTTGCTTTGAGGCAAAGAATGTTGCATTGTGTTCAAAATTTGGAGTACCATATGATGGTTGAGGTCATTGAGCCTCATTGGTGCACGTTTTTGCAGAAAATATCGAAGGTAAGGCCTTGAAAAACATTTTCTTACTACCTCGACTCAAAATACGTTGTTTCGTCCCCGATTCCACGGCAGAAAGTTTACGTTTCTTGCATTGGTCAAGCTATACGCGCACACTCTAATAGCGGGAGTAAAAATTTTTTAGAGCCGTTTCACATGCGACTGATAAAGTCCTGACGATCAGTCCTGACGGTCAGTCCTGATGACTAGGGGCCATTGTTTAAATGAATTTTTTCACATGCACTGCGTATCATCGGTTGACTGATTCGTCGGCACGGGCATCGGGACAGCCCGTGCGCACTGCGTACCGTCAGGACTATTAAGGGCTGTTAGTTATATAGAGTATTTCATATGGTACGTACGGTCAGCAGAAACAGTGTTGCACAATGAGTAGTTTACGCATTGATACTGAAATTGTAATAAATAGCATCGAACAGCGAAGATGCATCTGGTATGCAGATGATGAGAACTACAAAAATAGGGATGCAAAGAACAAAGCATTTGAAGAAGTAGCGTAAATAGTAGTTCCGGATTTTGAAAATTTTGCGAAAGCAAAGAAGAACTTTTTTGCGTTGTATTATTCTCTTTATACAAAAAGCGGCAACAGCGCAGTTCCGGAGGCGCTGAGAACCGTCTCGTAGTAGACATTTCCGTACTATACGTTGCTTGTGAAACAATGGTCATGACCGTCAGTCCGTATCATCAGGGCTGATCGTCAGGACTTTATCAGTAGCATGTGAAACGGCTCTTAGTCGTGTGCTTAACATTCAAATTTTGTACTGCCAACATGAAAAACACAAAAATATGACAGTTTTAAACCATAATTTTGCAATTATAACAACAAATAAACAATTTATGTTTTTACTGTTTTACTTTTTATGTTGTTTTAAGTGTTTAATGGTACTTTTTTTTGTTAATTAAAATACAACGTTTTATTTTTACTGTATTGGCACCGCTGAATTCACGGCCTACTGTTATTTATTTATCAAGCTCTTCAAATGGAGATAGGTACATAAATACACATTTAATTTTTTCCCGTATTTTCGGCCGGGTTGTATTTTCGGCCGAGGTAGTAAGAAAAATAGTATACACTACACAGGCAGAAAGTGTGAGAGTCCTGAACTGCGCGCCATGATGCCCTCGGCTTCGCCTCGGGCATCATGGCGCGCAGTGCAGGAATCTCACACTTTCTGCCCTTGTAGTGTAATATACTATTACTTTTCGACGTTTTGGCGCCCGCCACGCACCCAAAAACCCGGACATCGGTCAAATGTAGGTTATATATATAAACTGCCGGCAAAAAATAGGGGATATTAAAAGTGAAACAATTAAAATGTTTAAATCGTTTACCAGTAATAAAAAATTGTTTTGATTTTTTCATCGAGTTATAAAAACAGAGCCTATATCTAAAAAAGTAATTGCCTTGAAACGCTTGAAAAATAAACATGTTTTATACTAAACAAAAAAAAATTCTAAATTATTCGATTAAGTTGGCAAAAATTCAATATCCCCTATTTTTTGCCGGCAGTTTATATATAACCTACATTTTATCGATGTCCGGGTTTTGGGTAAATAGGTATATACAGTGTGGCCCATTTAAGATGGAAACACCCCCGTAATTTTTTTATTTGTTGCTCGATTTTAATGAACAAAGGCTCAAAAGATATAGAATAAAAAACTCTATCCAAGATATAAAAAATATTTTCAATATCATTTGACAGATGCTTACTATAACATTTTTTCTATGTCAAAATTCGGACAAAATTATTAGGGTCGTTTTTTCGAAAAAAATAAGTACGCCACTGAATGCGGCATGCTTCAAAATGGGTACAAACCAAATTTCATTAAAAACGAAAATTAATAACTATTTTAGACAATTTTTTTTTATATTTATAACGAAAAATAAAACACATTTAGGAGGTTTAGGAGAAAAATAAGTAGCCTTAAAATCCGTAGTTAAATTTTTAACATTTTGACCAACGTTCAAACTTTAAATCCTTTGTAACTTTTACATATTTGGTTGGATTTTTATGAACTTTTGAGTATGCACTAACAAAAGTGCTTCTTATTATGTTTTTTTTTTGCTTTAGGTAAATAACGTTGATGAAATCCTAGCCCACCACAGCGATTTTCTGAACAGCTGTTTACGGGACTGCATGTTAACAATACAAGAAATCCTTAGAACCATTACTACACTCCTTTCCATTGCTGTGGAGTTCTGCTTATTTATGCAGGTACAGTTTCAAAAAAATATTAAATAAAATAAATAATAATGTAAACTAATCTTAAAACCCAACAAAAAATTTGTTGAATTTTGAAACTAGTTAAATGAACTTAGCCATAAGGTGTTGATCAAACAATTGGATTTCTGGATCTTTAAAATTTTTGTAATTTAAGCGGACGCAGCGTTATTTTGTGGAGGCAGAGCTTGGTTCGCTTCCCAACTCGTTCTATGAGTCTTTTAACCAGGTATTTTCACCCCTAAAACGTGGAAAAACAATGATTTTGCTTTTATTTTTCATTATGTCTATAACATCGCGCATGCTTGTGCACACTCGGACAAAATCAGGAATAACTGAATAAAAATGTACGTCATTTTGTTAGTTACTATAGTATACCTATATATAGCAGTGGCGGCTGGTGGATTTTAAGTATACCAATATCTCAGTTATTAGACATGGGACCCACACCAAATTTATAATAGTTTATATTGACATTAAATAAACAAGTTCGGCGCAAACAGAATTTAAATTGAAGTTTGCGAAAAAAAGTTAGTTTTTCCTGTCGCCTACCCTGCCTCCAGGCCCCCCTATTTGAGATAATTCAAATTAAAGTGGTGCAATTTATTATCTACTATAATTTATCGACAAATTTAAAATTTTATTCAAAAAATCCAAATATTACAGATTTTATTCGATTTTAAATTTTTATTATTTATTTTATTAAAATAAAAAAATATTTAAAATGGTATAAAAACTGTAATATTTGGATTTTTTAAATAAAATTTTAAATTTGTCGATAAATTATAGTAGATAATAAATTGCACCACTTTAATTTGAATTATCTCAAATAGGGGGGCCTGGAGGCAGGGTAGGCGACAGGAAAAACTAACTTTTTTTCGCAAACTTCAATTTAAATTCTGTTTGCGCCGAACTTGTTTATTTAATGTCAATATAAACTATTATAAATTTGGTGTGGGTCCCATGTCTAATAACTGAGATATTGGTATACTTAAAATCCACCAGCCGCCACTGATATATAGGTACTATCATGGACACTAAAAAGTCCCATGCGAAAAGAGATAGCGCATGCAATACACGGCTTCATATATTTTTAATGGCTTAACCGGCAGCGCCAACCAAAGGTTTATGAATTGCGCTTTAAGCTGTCCGTAGTTGGAAATTACGGTAACGAAACGGGTTACAACAATCACATTGTTTTACGTATGTTGATAATTTAAGTAAGCTTTTTTGGAAGATTTGCAAAGAAACAATGCTGGCTGTGAGTATCAAACGAGCAAATATTCACGCCACCATAAAAAAAATGGTGAGGAAACTCCAATTGTCATATTTTGCATAATATAATTTATAAGGAATTTTAATTCCAAACGGAGAAGCGATTTTATTCCACTATGAGGGTGGGTGATTCGTAACATTAACTGTTGTATTAATTCTAGAATACAATCTGAAATTCTGATTTTTTGCTTATACTTGAAATGTGAGCGCTTCTAATAGTAATTCAGAAATGTTAAAAATTTCTAAAGATTTTGAAAAAAAAATTTGCAATATAGAATTATCAAAATTGTGCATCAAAAACTTTACTCTTTTAAACCAAATCAACAATTTAAAAGTTTATAAAACAAAAATTAAGTCGCCAATTTGAACGGTTACAGAATTCGCACATGGGCGACAACAGTGTCATAAGTCAAAAAAACTAAATTTTGGGGTTTTTAGTGCAATAAGTGTAAAATTACTCATAGTTTATGCTGCAACAGTGGCATAAAAATATTTTTGAAATTAATCCCTAGATGAAGACTTGTGTCTGTCTGCAATTTGTAAAATCCATATCATAATTTTCATCAACAGTGTCATAAGTAAGTTTCCTGTAAGTTGTGACAGTAATTTTGTTAGCGTGGGTTAGTAACGTTAAAGTTGTCAACAATAAAAGAATGAATAAGTGACGCTCCTCACCTAGAGGCAAAAGGTCTTGTGTCTAGGGTCTCGTTTATTGCGTTCGTACTTCCATAGTGCTACCACCGCTATCGGAGTTTAAATTAAAAAAATCAATTAATGATTATACACCTGATCTACCAGAAGCAAGTGCAAAAAGGGTGCAAATTGCGTGTGGCACCTCCTCCAGGATTAAGTCCCAAAGTCCCAAGTGAAAAAGAGTGTGAGGGAGGTGATTGGATACAACGAATAATTTTTCCTGGATTATCAACACAGAAAGAACACGTGCTAATAGTTGACTGTCGAGGTTAAGAAATAATTTCACAACACCTGTCAATGTCAATGCACCTGAAGTCCAAGTCTGCATAAACAGGATAAGTAAACCTACCAAAATTGGATGACCTTAATAATACCCAAATACTAAATTTTAATGCGAAATTCGCAAACTTAACTTATAAAGAACTCCAGCAGGTAAAGACCCGCACAACATTTTTGATTTCATATTGTACTCATATGGACGTCAAGTCATGATTTATAAGTCATGCCATGACTTCATTTGAGCATACATATGAGTCCTCATAGCGATCTCATGTTGTGGTCATGTCATGAGCCAGGATCCAAAAATTGGGTAGCGCGCATGCGCATACGATTCAGGAATGCCCGCGAATTTTTAAATCAATAATCAATTGAATCGCTCGTTCTTAAAACGACCAAGTCAAATTCATTTTTTACCACAAGAGCTTCTACATGTAGAATGCATACCATGTAGAAGCGTTTCATGGTAAAAAGCGAAAAAGTGACCTATGTCGTTTTTGAAACGAGAGATTCAATTATTGTTTAAGGTTAAAAAATTTAAAATTAAAAAACAAATTGCATATTTTTTTAGTTGTTTATTAGTTAATTAAAAAGCAAATTTTGTAAAAAAAATTACTTATTATGTCGTTTTTAAATGAGATTAAATTATTGTTTAATGTTAAAAATTTGAAAATTAAAAAAACAAATTGCATGTTTTTATAGTTGTTTATTAATTAATAAACAACTTTTTTAACCTTAAACAATAATTGACATAAGTCACTTCTTTTTACAAAATTCGCTTTTTACCATTATTAATAAAAATTAACATGATTTTTTATAGAAATATATATGTATACAGATCTGTATTTCGAATTAATAAATTATATATATTTCTAAACAAATTTTTTTGAGGCAAAAACATTTTAAATCATAAAATATTTTTTTATGTTAACATAATTGAATTAACATATAATTTTTTAAAGGTGATAAAATTTAAAATCAAAAAATATCTTTTTATGTTACTTAAATAGTTTCTAAAAATTTCAATCGAATTTATACATTTGTTTATTTCTTGATAAATTATTTTAAATTTCTTGTCAGATTTTCATTAATTTTGAGATAAAAAATATATTTATAACTTTTCAAGAATTACAATAAAATGAAATGAACACGAAAAATTGTTTTATATTCCTCGAGGTACATCTACAGATTTTTATTAATTTTGCATAAAAAACATTAATTATAACGTAATTAAATTAACGTACCTAATTACGTTATAATTAATGTTTTTTATGCAAAATTAATAAAAATCTGTAGATCTACCTCGAGGAATATAAAACAATTTTTCGTGTACATTTCATTCTATTGTAATTCTTGAAAAGTTATAAGTGGAACTAGCCTCTTCTTCAAGCATTTCTTGTGCACATGTTGAATTGGTCCCTGGTGACTCTTGGGTTGTGCAGTCCATGGCAGCTTCTGTAAAATAGAAAATAGTACAATGCATTTCTACGAACCACAGATATACATTTTGGCTTCAATTGCACTCAGCTGTGCTGTCATTATTCAATAAGTTTCTTGCCGTTAATTGTCAAAATTTGCATTTAATGCCTATATTAATCACTCACATAAACTATATACCCAGATAAACATTTCACATCAATTTAATTAACGTTCGTATTTCACACGTTTCAATTTTGCAGTCATTACAAAACAACCTAGGTTATATTTTGAGGTTAAATTATTAATAATTATTATTTAATAAATAATTTTTTATTTTGTTAACAAAAAACCAATATAATACTTAATAAATTCATGAGTACTTAAGTAAAATGTAAATTTGAAAACAAACCGACTGTCAAATAATTTAATAAGCGAGGACATGTCACATGTTTAAATTAAATTAAAAAAAAACGAAACTTACCTTCTTTTTCCCAAAACGATCTGTGCACTTATATTATAATGTATATATTATAATTATAAACTATTATAAATAATTATTACAACCATAGAAACAGAATATTACAACCACTTAAACAAATAAAACAATCGGGCAAAGACGACACAGCTTGTTCCATGCGCATTCATATGCGCAGCCGGTGGAGATCTTCGAAGCGCGAATATTCAAAAGACATCACGGCGGATCATTCCGTGAACTTATCATGACTCTGAACTCATCATGAGTTCCACACGAGCACAAAACCGTGAAGTCATGACATGAGGTGGTTCATGAACTCATGAATGTTGTACGGGCGATTAATTAGTCACCAACAGTTTCCATAAGAACAGCAAGCATAGCCAAAGAACTCAAGTTCAGATAAACACTATGCAAAAGAAACTCATCCTAAAGAAATACATACGAACAGGAAGTACTTCAAGACCAGCAAGGATAGGTCCTAGCAGCGTACTAACCAAACTAAATAGCTGGTTTAGGGGGACTCCGGATTGTACTAGTTGTACTGTGCAGTGGTGGGATACGTAGTAGAACTGAAAGGGGGAAAAATAACCCTGGAAAATCAGTGTAAGGCGTTGCCGATGGGGCAGTCATACGTTCCTCATATTCATAATCAACAATAAAAGAATGAATAAATAAAAAATTGATCGACACATTTATAGCAATACAGACATATCTGCAAAATGCATGCACATATTTTCAGCAACACAGACATATCCCCAAAATTAATGCACACCTTCTTCGGCAACACAGACATATCTACAAATAGTTATTATACAAAAATAGTATTTTCTAAAATCTAATTTTTAACTGGCTCAAAATCTTAGTGTGATTCTTCCTTTGGAAAGAAAATACTGTAAGTAAATATAATTTTACAAATATGTGAGAATTTTATTATTCAAAAATCTTTGACGTTCATTATCTCGGAATTAAGGTTTTACTACTTATGACACTGTTGTCGCCCATGTGCGAAATATGAATTTTTATATTAGTAATTTCAATTTAAAATATAAACACATCCGTGAGGTTAGTTAACGGGTAAACTTTTAATTTAATTTTGCCAATAAAATAATATATTATATAGCGAAAAACAAACAAAAAATCATTTAGTTAAAATATCTTTATTGATTTTTTTTAAATAAAGAAATTTTGTTAAAAAATCATCCTTATAATTTAGCAAGCTTGCTAAATAAACTAGTTTATGTTCAGTATACTTTTAATTTATCTTTCTGACTTATCATACTAACCATTTTCTGTTGTAGTTCTATGAATAATAAATTAATTGGTGATTTTTGAAACAAAAATGTGTCCCAAAAATATTATTATTATTATTTCTTTGTTTGTATCTACATCAGATTAAAAAAAAATGATTTCGTGGCATTAAAAATTACTATTTTTTTGGAAAATTGTCATATTTTGCATAATATAATTTAAAAAGAATTTTAATTTCACACGGCGACTTTATCCCGCTATGAGGGTGGGTGATTCGTAACATTAGTCGTTGTATTAATTCCAGAATACAATCTCAAATTCTGATTTGCAGACTTATACTTAAAATGTGAGCGCTTCTAATAGCAATTCCAAAATTTTAAAAATTTCTAAAGATTTTGAAAAAAAAATTGCAATATAGATTTATCAAAATCGTGCATCAAAAACTTTACCCTGCGGCGAGCTATGTGAATTATTGAAAATCTCTATACATATATATATATATATATATCGAGTCAAATGTAGTCAAAACATTGACAAAGTTTAAAAAAAAGTCGCTAACTTCACAACAGTGCCTAGAGACTTTTTATTGCTTGTTTTGTATTCGCGGCAAGGTCAGAGAGAGAACGATAAAACCGGGTGGGACTTTATGATGTCCATCATAGTACCATAAAAATTTCATCATGATGTGTTTATTTTTGTATTTATTTTTTATAGTATTTATTTTTAACTTAACACTTGGGGGCCGTCCTTAAATCTCGCGACAGAATGTGATTATGGTATACTAACCGTGAGTAACTAACAAAATGGCGCACATTTTTATACAGGTTAAACAACAATTTTTCAATACGCTCTCTTACATTATATTTTTTATAAAGTATTTCAAAATAAGTTATTCTAATTTTTGTCCAGTGGTGCATAATTACATTTTCTGTCTCATTGTATATGTCTTATTTTATTATTAATTATTTAGAGCTCATATTAAGCCACAATCTAAATTGATAGATACACTGAACCTAAATATTTAAGGTAGGTATTATTGCGATAAAAATATCACCATTTCACTGAACAAATGCCAAATAAATGTTGTAAGTACATGTTATTTGTTTAACAGCAAGAATTTCACTTTCATGGTAATGAAGATTTGGTGGATCAAAATGTCAGTTTTAAAGACAAAATCACTCAATTCGATGAAGAATTCTCCGATGCCGTTGTTTGTCTTTTAAATCAAATCAACAATTTAAGCAGGGATACCAGCGAACACGACAGACTCTTCAACTTGTTGTACAGGTAATTTTTTAGTGGTTATTATTATGAAACCTGCATTTGATGGTGATTTTAGGGTATACCAACAAAAATAGGACATTTTTGTAACTCTATTTTAAGTGTGGATAACCTAAAAATATTGTTAAAATCCAGAAATTTTTAAGAAAGTTATTTTTACTTTTAAGAAATTTGACAGTCAAACATTTTTTAAAGCTCTGTAATTTACAATTTTTGGTCGGATTTTTATAAAAATGTTACGGTATACTAACAAAAGAAAGCTCTTTCTTTCGTAATTTTATTGGTATACTTAGAAAAAGCCTTGAAACATTTTGGCGCCCAACGCGTCAAGCTTTTAAAGCACTGTCTTACAGAATTTGTCGGATTTTTATGAAATTTTTAGGGTTTAAGAGAAGTGGGATCTTTTTATGGTTATGTTTTAAAAGTCGTAATTTTGTCGGTATACCCTCCTAAAAATGCATATTTTCGCAAGAATTATAATGTCCTTTTATTTCCTTTTTTATATTTAATACATGTAGATTGTCCCCTGTACCTTAAATAAATACTGGTGAGATTCCTTTAAACACTTTACATTTTATTTTTACATTTTTTTGTATTCTTTTTTAGATTGGACAACAATTCATATTACACCAAACGTATGCAGAAGTACAAAAATGCTTCCTCTGGATAAAATTTACAAACCTTCATTATTTAATCAATGTTTAAGTATTATAATTTTTGTTTTTAAATAATAATTGTTGTAAATAATTAGGCAACTAATAAAAAACTTAATAATATAGAAGAATTTTATTATTTTGAAATGCATGAGGATACACAGGAGGATTTTTTCTTCAAAAAAAATGTCTCAAATCACAATTATTATAGTCTTTTGAAAGATTTTTACTCCGATATATAAATCCACAATACAAAGTTATAATACATTGTGTAGACAGTTTTAAACTAAGAGTAATTGCATTAGTGAATATTAACCATCTTAGGCTGGATAAAACTGGCCCCAATAAAATATGTCATTCATACAATTATTCCATTTAACCTTGACAGTGAAAAAATTGCACTTGACGTGCAAAGTTATACAATTTGTCTGCAATTTAGTTGTTGCGAGATTTTTTAGAGTTAATAGAACCAAAACTAACCAGGTTATAATAACCTTTAGACATATCATCTATTTGTTTTGATTAAAGACTTCCTTATAAATATGTTCATTATTTCCAGATAATTTATTTTGTATCCTATACATATTTTGTCGTAGATGTGAAATTATATACCTATTATTTCCCAAATAAATACTTTATGCTAATGTTATTGCTGGTCTAGTTTATATGCAAATGTATATCATCAAGGAGTATTTAGATCAAAATAGACCTTTCTAAAAGATTTAACAATTAATTTATTTGATGTTATTTCTAGTGTAACATTTACAATTTTCGTTTAATTTTGATGAAATTTTTAGGGTTATAGGTACAAACAATTTTTGCAAAAAATAAATAAAAGTTTTATGCCCTTAAAGCTCTAATACCCTTCTGTATTTATTTACTCATTCAGCTATTAGCTTAAGAAATGATTATAAAATTTAGTACCAATTTTTAAAACTCCATAACCACAAAATTATTTTTTTCTTTCTGTTTACTCAGATGAAATTAGGACAAGGGGAAAACGACTGATTTTTAAAAATTAAAAATCGCTTACGAATTAACCGCTAAGGATAACAATAACAAGGGTAGTCATGCGCAACGCGTCGCTAAGAGAAATATCTTATTGATAAGCACTGATTAAGCAAGGATGTGTTAATCATCTTTTTTGAGATGGCCCAGTAAGCACAAGCTAGCCGGCCCGCATACGGCCCGGCATGTTCGCCTGGCCGAATGTCGGCTATGTTTACTCGGCCGAGTGTCGGCTGTGTATAGTGCCGGCCACAACAGCCTGGCAATTTAAAAAAAGCCTTCAGACGTCCTGGATAGGTATATCCTGTAGGTTTAACACACTCGACTATAGCTAGCCATTATTCGTTACCGAGCAGATGAGGACTTCAAACAATTAATGTTCAGCTATGCCATTACAGACGCGCACTTCCAACTTGCAACCAAACGCTATTTATAGTTAGCTCGCTTGCGTAATTACGCACTTTCTTGGTAGTAGTGGGCTAGGGTTGTGGTCTGAACAACCGGGGGAGTCTATTCATAGGAAGTTTTTAAAATATTGGAGTCGACATAAAATAAAACTAATAAATGACCATAGCTCGGATTCCAGCTAAAACAGGCAGTTGTTGAATTTTCGTCTCGACATCTTTAATTTAATCTTAAATAATTTGTTATATAAGTTATATAATATTTCTTTGGTAACTTTTAATTGTGTTTATTGTTTAGTTTCAATAAATTTGTAAGTTTATAAAATTGGTGCTGTGTTTTACACTTTCTTTCCAATAAAGAAATGCAACAAGTATAATTGTATAAAGAGGAAGGGAAGGATCAGCTAGGATTTTGTTGCATATTAATAATCTTTACTAAGTACATAAGTACATAATGGAATCTGAAGTCGTTTTTGGGTGTCATTTTCATGTGACCCATTTTTAGTTGAGGGACACTGTACGCTCTTTAAAATGCAGTCAGACATTTTTGTAATACCTGCTGTAGAAAAAAAGTTTGATATTTTTAATTAAAATAGTTTATTAAATAACAAAATAAAAGAAATCATTAAACTAAATAAAACACACTTTACTGAGAACAACTACACGTTAAATTGAGTGAAAAATATGCCACTGAAAAATAAGAAAGCCTATCATACAGTTACTGTGTCGTTTAATAAAAGTGTATTGAGAAAAAAGGCATTAAAATGTTAAATTTTAAATATTGTATTATTAAATTACTTTTCCTCACACCATTCGTTCTCCTTTCTGACTTGCTCTTCCTCAGAGGCAGTAAAGTCGTTTTTTATGTTGAAAGTTTTGCGGATTTCTTCTGGGGCTTTTCCTTTTATCATGTTGGCCACAGTTTTGCAAGTTACATCCAACAAACCTTAAAAAAATGTTTTATTAAAAAATTGACAATATTGTAATTTTGATGTCTCTTCCTGAGATAGAGGGCGCTAGTTTAAAGTAGTAAAAAATATATAAAATAAACCAACCTTTGATGTCTAGGTAGTTGGCAGCCAAAATTAGTTCAAATAAAGTTCCCTGGTCGACTTTTAAAAAGTCTGCATCCCAGGAAGATATATCATCAGTTCTTTTTTCTTTGTTTTCGTCATCTTCTGGTGGTGGAGGGTCATCTTTGTGATATGTGGCCCATTGAATGACCTGACATAAAAAATGTGAAGTTTTAACCACATTTTTATTGTAAATATTAGTTTTATACAGTATAAATTATACTCCTTAAAATAGTTTTTATAAAAAAGAATTTTACAAAACTTTTCCGAAAAACGCCCCCTTCCATTTTGTAAAAATTCAAAAAATAGGTTTGGGGGTGTAATAGTGTATAAACAATCGACGCAGGGTATTTAAGTTGTTTAATTATCACCTAGTTAATAAAATAAGGGGCAAATAATTGAAATGACTGTCATGGTAGTCTTTATTTGAAAAAGAACCTGTTGCAAGCCTAAAACGCATATATGATAGACGTAGAATTTGAAAATGGAAGTGGAAAAAGATCGAATTATGAAAAACACATGACATTCATAATGGCCTCGCGCGCGGAATTGTGCTCGGGCATTGACCTTTTAACTTTAAAATACACCGAGTGCGGATCCAGGGGGGTTATGGGGGTTGCGACCCCCCCAACCCATTTATTATTGTAACCTAAAAAATAAATAACTTAAAAAAAATAATATTATTAAGTTTACCCACAGTACGTCATTTGGGGGCCCCCCAACGAAATTTCTGGATCCGCCCCTTGTTATAAAAATTAGTCTTTATCTATGTGTAAAGCTTGAATTTGCACATTTTTATGTGTAGAGCAGAATGGCAATGCTTGCAACCCTTCATTTGTTTTTTAGAAAAGTTGGGAGAATTTTAGTCCAGTCAAACCATGGTGAAAAATGGGATTCCCTTGCATGTCAAGGCACTATCTGTTTTTTTTCATGAATCGATAGGGGCTTATTTGAAAAGCTTAAAACCAAATAGGCACCACCTGATTATTTAGATTTCCACAAAAATACATTTTTTTTGTTTTTAGTGAATATCTCGGCCCTGTATATTGCACAATAAAAATTAAAAAAGCAAAATATTTTTTTTTTAAATTTCCAATAATTGTTGTCTAAAGTATTTTTGGTTTAAACAAATGAATAAAAAAATATAGTTGGTTAAAATGAAAAATCATGAACACTGGTTGCAAGTTTATTGAGATGCAACGCCAGGTACGATATTGGTATCGGTCACGAAACATGTTTTTGTGATAAACAAACAATTTGCTACTACAACGGTTATGAATTATTTGCAGGCAACAAAATTTTAAACGTAATGATTACTTTCGAATCCTGGCTATATCCCTAACTTTTAAACAGCAGTTTATTTCGCAAACGGCATATTTTATGATAAATTATTATGATTAACATTTTGTTAATCTTTTAATATACTACAATTTCAAAAAAAAAAAAATAGCCGACCAATCCTCGAGTGAACATGGCCGCGCTCGTACACCCAGATCGATTTTTCTCACTACTTTAGAGAAGGAGTCTCAGGCTCGTTTTTTATTGCGGTATTTTCTGTAGGTCTAATCCACGTAAAAATATATTTATTTCTTCTATGTTTATAATTTTTTGACTGATATTTTGTGATAAGTCTGGCCCTTTTTCAGATCCGCTAGATCTTGTTAGAGAAACCATGGTTGGATATCAAACATAACTCTTTGTAAGAGTCAATGGCAATCTATCTAAACTTTAAACATATTTTCCTGCAAGAAAATGTTCAAACTACAAAACATTTTAACCCGGCCTTTCGACAGGTGATGATCAGGCGCGTGCTGGCCCACCGGGCGACCAGGAGTTTCCCGTTGGAAATCGTAACAAGTAACAGAAGAGTAAAGAAACTTAAGGTAACAAAACTAGCAAAACTCTAAGCGTAACCGAAACACCGGGTATGGAAACGAATCCAGAAACGCCTCCTGAGTAACGAAATCGTAACAAAGCCTCTTGGTACAGAAACTTAACTAGTAACGTTTTCTGTTGATGAATAAATGAAGCACCGTTCTTATCAAATACCTTTATAATTTTGTAAATATTAATGTATTATGCGACTCGTGGAAGAAAGAGGAGATTCCCCGAACGTTTTATTCAGTTACCGCCAGAAATATGCATTCTTTCCTGCGCCAAATCGGCCAAGAGTAAGACTTGTTTCCGATTTGCTTCAAATTTTCAGGGTCGATAGAGGAAGTAAAGAAATGGAGAAATCTAAAATGTCAACTTCTTTTATGCATTTTTGTAGGTTTTACAAAATAAACAACACAAAATTTTACTTCTCTGATTTTTCGATTATTTAAAAACCCGAATGACAAAAAATTTTGAAAAAAATCATAAACATATTTTTTGACGCTCTTTAAAATAAAATAAAAAAAATTTTTTTTTATTAAAATTTAAATTCCCAAAAAACGCCAACTCAAATTTAAAAAAAAAATCATGATGATAGCCCCAAGTTTTCCGCAAATTTTGACTACTTATTTTTAGGGGGGCTCAAAAACTGTAAAAGTTATGAATTTTTTTGTAAAGAAATGCATGTGAAATCGTCGCTACAGATCCAAGCCTACACGTAGCTACGACGCGGCGCGCGGTTCCGAGACGTGCGCTCGGTCTAACCGAGAAAAAATGGTTTAACGATTCTCTCCAAATTATTTTTTTCTAGTTTATTAAAAAAAAACAAAACAATCAAATTAAAATAATCGAAAAATAAGAGAAGTGACATTTTTTTTTGGTTTATTTTGTAAAACCTACAAAAATGCATAAAAGGAGTTGAAATTTTAGATTTTTCCATTACTTTAGTTCCTCTATCGACCCTGAAAATTTGAAGCAAATCGGAAACATGAAGTCTTACTCTTGGCCGATTTATATACAGTATGTCTCAGTATCTTGGAATCATATGGAAAACTTTTTTATTATTAATTTTAGGAAAAAAAGTTATTCTTTATAAAAAGTTCTGCATGGTGTAAAACTTAAAATGCAACCCACAAATATTATTTTTTTTAGTCGTATACGGGGTATGTCAAAAAATATGAATTTGGCTCAAGAGTAAAGTACCTTTATATTTGACAATATCGAAAATTGTTATAAAGAAAAGTTAATCAGAACTAAAAACTACGTTCAAATATGCAATTACATCCATTTACATTAAAAAAAATATTTTTTCTTTTTTGTCTACAATATCAATGCAAATTTAACTGTAACATGTAATCTAGGATTCACTGATAAACAAATGATTTGTTGATATTCTAAAACTTTTTGGCCTGCTAGATCCCCTGACTTAACTTAAGGTTTTCATGTTTTTTGTAATCATAACAGATAAATGTTCATTTAAAATAGAAAGATTAGTAAAAATTAACAAAACCTAATTTTTTAATGTAAATGTATGAAATTGCATATTTAAACGTAGTTTTTAGTTTTGATTAACTTTTCTTTATAACAATTTTTGATATTGTCAAATATAAAGGTACTTTACTCTTGCGCCAAATTCATATTTTTTGACATACCTCGTATACGACTAAAAAAAAATTAATATTTGTGGGTTGAATTTTAAGTTTTACACCATGCAGAACTTCTTATGAAGAATAACTTTTTTTCCTAAAATTAATAATAAAAAAGTTTTCCATATGATTCCAAGATACTGAGACATACTGTATATATATATATATAATTGCGTGAGTTAGTCGCACCATTTACCCGCTCTACTTGATTTACCTGTGCGACTTACCGGTGCGTCTTACTCTCGAGTTTTATCCTTACTCGCGCGACTTACCCGCGTGACCACTAGTGGGCGGAATAGCATGAAGTTAGCTTTAGGTTAAAAATGAGTTTTATATATCAGGAGGAATCTCCTTTTTCTCCCAGAGGTCGCACAATATACTATTAATACATATACAATACTGTCAAATTTGTACCCAATATGAATTTTCTTGACAATGTCAATACTTGAAAGCATGACAGCTAGTAGACAGATCAAGAATACTTTTACCAAGATTTTGTGTTGATGTGCATTTTGTAAAAGTTTTTTTTTAATTCAGCGTTTGGTTACAGTTTTGTTACTCAGTTAGTGTTACCAGTTTCGTTTCAATATCCCGTATTTCGGTAGTTGATGAGCACCTGCAATTTTCATGATAAACAGTTTCGATAACAATTTTCTTAACTGTTATTAAGGTTTAGTTATTCGTTTTGGTACTAGTAGTTGTTAAGTAGTTAATAAGTATTAGTTCTCCAAGTTTCGTTATTATTTTTGGGGGGCATGTTTAGATTTAATTTAGTTTAGATCCTTACAAGAAGAACGATACCCGGTATCGGATAGGGCTGGGCGATTATCGAAATTCATAATCGATTATTGATTATCTAAAATAATCGATTTTTTCGATTATTTGAATAATCGATTATTGATTAATGGATTTTTTGATTAATCTATTACTGAGTAATCGATTAAATTATTAATTTAATACTTATGACTAGGGATGGGATTTTATTTATTTTACCTTTTTTCAACTGATGTATACAATAGTATATGATGTATACAATAGTACTATTTGAAAACCAATAATGCCAAAATGTGTTTTCTTTTATATGAACCTAACTTGTTTTTACCTTTTTTGGAGGTTTTTGCTTTAAACTACCTTTTTATACTTTTGTTACCTTTTTTTTTAACTTGTTTTCACCTTTTCTACCTTTTTTGGAGGTTTTTGCTTTAAACTACCTTTTTATACTTTTGTTACATATTTTTTAATTTGTCAGTTTATTTTCACCTATTTGTTACCTATTTTTACGTTTTTATACTTATTTTATTTTTTTGTGTTCTTTTTAAATTTTGCGCCAATATTTTATCCAGGCGTGCAACTCAACGGTATAGAATTTTTTCTTATGGTCACAGACTGTAACAGTAACTTTCTTTACAGTTACCTTCTTTGTAGTGAGCTTATGTTCTGTCATAGAACTTCTGTGTAGTGAGTGTCACTCAGTGAAACATAGTTTATTGCATAGAAATAGTTTATTGTGGGTATGTTTGGGTATGCGGCTAAACAAAATTATAAACGAAACTTGAACTTTTAATATATTTTTAACCTAAAATGCTTTTTTAGTACCTTTTTAGAAATATCCCATCTTTACTTATGACCTATATTATGCATGCGATACAAGTTTCTGAAAAATCACCATTTTTATTTTGTTTAGTTAAAAAAAATGTTCAATTGGTCATATTATTTCTATTTACATATTTGATTGCTTTAATTATAACAATTATTATTATTATAATTACTACTAGATAATTCCAGTCCCTGGTTATTAGTGAGTAGTGTCGGCCCCAGCACGCAAGGTAACATTTGAATCATAAACACAACACCCCCACCAGTTCCCCAACCCTTTCTCTAAATGACGTAAAATTTAAGGCGTGGGAGGGCCCTGTAAATGAATTATTTCCTGGACACTAAAATCATCCCAGCACGCGCCTGGTAATGATTTTTTCTCCTGACTCAGAGGTCATCATTGGTATAAGCTTTAGCTCCCCTATTCTGGATCTAAAAAATTCGCCGCCAACCATGCCTGGACCGGATGAAACGTTCAAAAAGAATGGAGTTCAGCCGCCGATTCTGTAGATGGTAAATTAGCGAGATCGGATTTGATTTTCACGATTCGTCCACGAGATCAGCTTCAATCAAACATAATCTACAGGGTGTCCGGGAAAAGGAAGTCAATCCGTTAACCATATGAACATGAAGCTCTAAATTGAAAAATGGTATTATGAAAGTCTTATTGTTTTAACTCAAAGAATATATGTATATTCTTTGAGTTAAAACAATAAGACTTTCATAATACCATTTTTCAATTTAGAGCTTCATGTTCGATATACAGGGCGACAAAGTTTGAAATTTAAGACTGATTTTTTTTAATAATTCGAGTAATTGATAAGATATTAAGTTCAAATTCGGTACACTACTTCAACATAAATAGTTACATGTTTTGAGACCAACAAAACAAAAAAACAATTGTCAAATAATCAAAATAGGGGGGTCCAGTACTCACTGACTCCCCCTATTTTTAGTACGTGCGCCAATGACTTCCAAACGGTATTTTTTCAGGTAATCATTTATTGTTAAAAAAAATTTGTCTCTTATAAAATTTTGATAAAATGATTTGTTTTAGAGATAATTTGTAAATAATATCAAATCAACCAAAAGTTCTTCCCCCACCATCTCCGATTTTGATAATTTTTGGTAAATTTGTTTACCTCACTAAAAAACTCAAAAATCCCATATATGAATTTTTTTCGATGGGTGGTTTTTGTTTTATTGATTTTTGAAAATCAAAAAATTCCGATAAATTTGGGTTTTGCAAGTACTTACAAAAATAGCGATATCTCGTAAACTATTAAAAGTAGAAAGGTGAGTGATGGCTTATTTTAAAGGCCTATTAGAGACCTTTTTTATGATATATCAAATAACCTAAATTTTTTCAAAAAAAAATTAAATTTCAAAAATTTGATATGGATTGACCCATACTTTACAAATTATCTCTAAAACAAATCATTTTATCAAAATTTTATAAGAGACAAAAAATTTTCAACAATAAAAGATTACCTGAAAAAATCCCGTTTGGAAGTCATTGGCGCACGTACTAAAAAATAGGGGGAGTCAGTGAGTACTGGACCCCCCTATTTTGATTATTTGACAATTTTTTTTGGTTTGTTGGTCTCAAAAAATGTAACTATTTATGTTGAAGAAGTGTACCGAATTTAAACTTAATATCTTATCAATTACTTGAATTATTAAAAAAAATCAGTTTTAAATTTGAAACTTTGTCCTGTATATCGAACATGAAGCTCTAAATTGAAAAATGGTATTATGAAAGTCTTATTGTTTTAACTCAAAGAATATATGGTTAACGGATTAACCTCCTTTTCCCGGACACCCTGTAGATATTTTTTGTTACTTTCTTGTTAATAAAGCATAATGAAAATGATTTAACCTGTTGACGCTCTATTGTAGCCAGTTTTCTTTGATTGAAAAATCTGTAACGGTTACAATGCTAATGGGAAAAACAAATTCCATTGCCCTATTTGGAGAAGAAAGCAAAACAACTCTAGATCATTTTCAGCTAAAGCTGTTCTCATGCACAAATGGTGAAAATAAAATCCAATCTTGATAATTTTTCACCCCCACAATCACAAGCTGAACATCATTCTTTCATCAGACTCAGGCATAGCTGGGGAAAGAGCAAAGCAAAAAATATGTGACGACCTCAGGAGAGACAGCCCCATCATCACTGGTTGATGTCATGTGAACAAAGCCGGGAAAATATGTTTAAACACTTGTGGATTGGTCGCCTCTTGTTAGTTGCACCAAGAATATTTTAGAAAATTCCACACCTGTAATTTTTAACCAATCAAAACGTGTATTTTTGATAGATCACCATGGCAACGGTTGAATTTTAGTGGAAATTTTTTCCTCGTGGGTACCCAACAGCGAATTATACTGGAAATTTTTTGACGTTTATAATGACAGAATATTTTTTTGACAATCTGGTTTTTATTTGTTTACATGATAATTTTGATACATTTCCATTACAAAGTTTAGATGTTTTCTATATTCGTTGGACACCTCCTTTCTTCTTAATGGCGAAAATGCAGGAATTGAAATAAATGAAATGTCTATGTCTAATGAAATATATATAATATTTAGACACTATTCTATTCACCTTTTTTTCCATTTAGCACTTTGAGTTTTGAATAGTTAAGATGCAAATATTCGTGAACAATTCAAAACAAATTTTCTTTCTTCAAGAAGGAGCCACAATCCTCTAATAATGCGGGTAAATAAGTCATTGCACGATGATTGATCATTACAGCAGACAATTTCACATTTTTTTACGTCGTGCCGCTTGACAGCTTCAAAATTGAAATAACTTTTAGGTTGGGATTGACTTAGTTGCCATGGTAACTAAATAATCAAGTCGAGGTCAAGTTAAATCAAAAAATAAATTTTAATTATTTAAACACAATTTGGTGTGGAATTTTCTTACCGAATACCACACGAGGTCAAATTAAATCCGGAAATTTTTTCTCCCTCATGAATATTTTTAGAAAATTATCCCTCGTCTTCGACTCGGGATAATTTTCAAAATATTCATGAGCTCGAAAAAATTTCCGGAAATAATTTGACCTCTAGTGGTATTACTAGTGAAAATTAAAAGGGATACAAAATGTTTATGGTAATAATTTACCGTAAAATGAGGTTTGCAAAATAGTTTAAAAAAACAAATTTTTAATTTAACAAACTATATTTTTTTACTTATTTCTAAAAAAAAGTATAGGAAACTTTTTATTGTGCAGTATAAATAGATATTCACTAAAAAATAAAAAAATGTATTTTTGCATATATCTTTGTAAAACAAAATTGTCAGGACCTGGTGGTGCAAATTTGGTTTTATGCTTTTCAAATAAAAGTTAAAAAACCCAGAAAGTGTCTCAGCAAGATCAAACAACAGTTTGACTGGACTATTTGGGATAAATTCAGGGTTGTTGTAGTAGTAGTAGTAAATATTTTAAATAATAAAAAAAATCAAATGAAGTGAAAATTAATTTACCTTAATTATAGTTAAATAAAATAACTTGGATAAAACCTACAAAACAATTATATAAACATACCTTTCTTAATATAGCAGAGTTGACATTTGGTAATGGAACAACTTCCTCCTCATCTTCATCCATTCCAAGATCTTCCAACATAGTTTTTATTGTTACAGAACATTTTGCAATTTCGATCTCAACCTCAAAGGTTTCTCCATCGGAACTCTGTAGCTTTATTTTAGACATCTAGAAGGGATACAGTCTTTTGTTATTTGACAGTAAAAATACAGTTGAATATCAATAATGATACCTTTTATTGCTGTATTGTTCTATTTACAATTTTACTTAATTAACTAAGGATTCTTTAAAAGAACGTTAAAATTGCGTTATTTTTTATAATTATAAGTACCTAATTAGGAAAAAACAATAACCTTTCTTTTAAGGTATCACTAAAAAATGGTGAATACAACTTATCAGGGTCTTATAAGATTAAATCCCTGGATTATATACATATATAAAACTAAACCGACTAAAAATGAACTCTTTTTTACTTATACCGCTTTAAAACCAACTTAAAATTGGTTTAATTCAAGAAATAACAGGCTATTCTTTCAAAGGAAATGACAACTTTTTATAAGCATTTTTATACATCAAATTCACCATAATTTACAATAAATCATTATAAAACACGTAAATATTAAATTATAATGTTAATTAGTGTTATATTTACCTTATTCCAGTTAAAATATACGAAAAACACACGATAAATAACGTAATTTGTAAAAATGACAACAGCTTCAATAAACCATTGACACGATCGATAAAGTAGCGCGCTGCAATTGAATTACCTGCCGCGTTCGAGCGTGGGAAATTCAAATTTCTAATCTGTATACGTATTAGATTAGAAGTTATTTTGCGTTATAAATGCCATTATGCAAATCTTTGTTGTTATTAGATTAATGTTCGTCTCGTTGAGTTTAACGAGGCCCCACAGCAGAAAAAAACAGGCTTATGCGCAAGACGCAGATTTTGCACTTTTAACTTTTGAATGTGTATAAATAAGAATAAGAACGCGCTTTTCCGAACAGAATCATTTTAGTGTTTGTGATATCAAAGCGCAACTTTTTATAAATATTTTAAGCGACAAAGTGTTATTTTAATAAAAATGGTGAGCATTTGTATAATTATTTTTTTTGCGTTTTTATTAAAATTTTTCGTAAAATTTTTTTGTTTATAATAAATAAATATTGGGGTCACGATTTGATTTATACAGTTATTGTCCTTCGTTTTTGGCCACTTCAAGGTAGATTTATTAAAATATAACATACATAAAAACACTATTCGCATTTTATATTAAAATTTTATAAAAAAATAATAATTAATATAAGTACCTAGTTTCAAAGGCGACCAATAAAAATCCGTATTACAATATTTATGTAGAAATAACCGCATTTGTGTGATAAAATGTTTAAACAAAGGCTTATTTAAAAAAATAGCTAAAGAAAAACAAATCCTTGGTATTTTGACCTTTTTTATGATTAGCAAATCAGTCTACAAAATCAGTTTTCGGGAACTTTAACAATTAAAGATAAAACTTTAGTTATATTGGTAAATGCATGATGGAAAAGTACAGAAAATTCATTCATTGAAGATTTTCTTTTTCTTATCTTTAAATTTTGTTTACAGGGTTCAAGCACTAAAAAAGTATTCTACAGATTAGCTCAACTCCTCGTTTGTTTTATGATTTTAACGAGTGTTTACTCAAAAAGAACTTTGGAGGCAAAACGCGGGCGAACCGTGAACTGCAGGTACTTTAAACTTCTTAATTTATATACAGGATACCTATATATATATATATGCATACCTAAGTATATATACATGAAAAAAATACTTTTCAGAAAATTCGTCCATGCCCCGATTTGTAGAGGCTCCCAGGCCAAAAGGGAAGTCAGTTCAGGTTTGGAAGGAGATTTTATGTAAGTTCTTAGAGGGTCACAAAATACAACACAAATGGGATATACCTTAATAAACCTATGACTAATCAGTAATAGTTTTTTGCAATATCTTGCGTTAATATGATATGTATATTCTTATAGACGTTTACATTTTTTATGTATACAAATCATTGTAACAAATGTAGATTATTTAAACGTCTATAATAATGGACTAATGCATTTTTACATAAACGTAAACTTTTACATTTTTAACAAGTTTTGAAGCTGGTTGTCTCCATAAAGGCGCATTATATAAACCCAGGAAGTAAAAACTACTTTTTAGTTAAAATAACATGTATTTCACATCTCAAACAAGTCATATGTCCGTCCTAAATAACATCACAAATATGTCATATTTGTGATGTTATTTAGGGCGGACAAATGACTTGTTTGGGACGTGAAATACATGTTATTTTAACTAGGAGCAAAAGTAGTTTTTGCTCCTTGGGAAAGAAGCTTTTAGCCTTTTTTGTGGAGAATTTAATAATATATATATATATATATAACTTTTGTTCTAAGCATTTTTTGTTAACTAATATTTTAGTAGGTATACCTACTTATAAAACCAATTACTTTCGTAGCCGCCTATAAAAAAACCCTTTACATGTTAAAATTTAGATATGGTAATAATCAGTTTATTAGCAATTGATTTTGTTTATTTTAGATACAATTTAAGAGGAACTGACGTTTTGGATTATTATAATTCGGACTCGGATATTTTACCAAAGGAGGATGTACGTTTTTTAATACAATTTTTTTTATAAATTTATGTTTTTATCTTATAGGTATATGGTTTAAAAGCCTTTTTAATAGGTCTTTTAAGACGGAATAGAAACTATGACTATGACTCAGGAACACTTTACAACTCTTAGAAAAAATCTTAATGATTATTAAGCGAATTTTCGCTTTAATTAAATCAGTATTATTATTTAAGTATTTATTTTTTGCATCATATTTATTATTATATTAATAGAATAAAAGCATCAAAAAATATATTGGTTTTATTTAATTAAAATTTAGACTTTTAATTAAAAATTAGCAATCGTTTTCTTCCAATATCTTGATTCTATAGGGGTCAGACGTGAAAATGACATATTTAAAAGAAAGAATGAATTTTTAAAGAAATATTACGCTCTGAAACTTCTCTTTAGATTTTTTTTAACGATAGATTTAAAGCTCGTTATCTTCCTAACGGCTATTTATACATAAAAAACGCATATACTTAACCTTTTTTGTAGAAATTGTAATCTAAAACTTTCGTTTAAAAACACTCATATTTTAGCAGTGGTGGTCACTAGTCAAAATTTAGACCCGGAATTAAAATAGTGTAAATTTCGACTTTTTTATTAACATAATAAAATAAAAAAAATATGTACACAAAAAAAATATGTACACAAAAAATGCATATTGGAATTTAGAGATTTTTTTTCACAGATCCTTTGATAATCCATTGAGCCACTTTTTCGAATATTCATAGGTGGCAAAAAGAGCCGCGGTGGCGGGTATAGTTCTGAGCAAAGAGGGCGTAAGTCCATGATATAGAGAAACAACACCTTCGTTCCTCAATATGGACATTATTGTGCCCACCAAGTTTTCCTGAGATTTACCCACTTGAATTCGACTTTTAGCCATGTCTATAGGGTATGTAAGAGACCAAAATACAATACCACCAACTGATCCAGCTATCATTGTCCGTAATAAACCTATTTCGTCTTTAGATTTACCAGGCTGTCTTAGTAACTCTCTGGTGCCTAAAAATTAGTAACCGTTTTTTTGCAATATCTAGTGGTCAGACGTCAAAATGACATATATGAAAATTTTAGATTAATTAATTGTACATAATAAAGATAAAATGTATTTTTAAGTAAGATGAAATATTACTCTGGACTTTCACATTTCAAAATTTTTTAACGAATGTTTTGAAGCCCATTATCTCTAACAGCTCATTATACATAAAAAAATCCTTTTACCTATTCTATGGGGAATTTAATGATATAAAAAAAAAATTATCATTTTTTTTGTAAAACTAATGTTTCTCCTGATAAAACTACTTACCTTCGTAGCCGCCGAAAAAGAAAAAATACCCGGGCATTTCGCGTACCAAGGTTGGCACTAGCCCCTTGAAAAGTCCCTGAGGTCCGTCGGTCTTTAATATGTAACTGGTGAGATGTAAAGGTCCCATCATTTTCGTGTCTACGCCCGCTAATTTGTCTTGTTTGGATATTTCGCGCATCGCCTGCAACTTGCATTTTACCAATTCCGTTGGACAAATCGCTATAGAGCTAAAAAAAGATGCCAAAAACCCTAAAAACTTGAAAAATTAAAAAGCTGCATTATACAAATTTTGTCGCGGAGAAAATTTTGAGGGCATACAAAAAAAAATAATGTAAAAAGTGTAAAAATACCTGCTGTAGCATTGGAAACTGTAGATAAGTCTTCAATTTTTGCTGTCCCTGTCAAATTTTGCATTATTTTTTGGCAAAAACCATAGCATAAAAATAAAACAGAATTTTCCGCTATATTAGTTGCTAAAGCTGGTACTGTGCCTGCATATAATCCTTAAAAAACATTAAAAAATAAGTACCATTAACAAAAAATATAGCAATATTTATTTATATACCTATTTATATAATATGGATAGCATTTATTGAAAAGGAACCAAGCGCAACTTTTTCTGGGGTAAAGAAAATTATTTGAAAAATAACTCATTTTTAATGCTGCTCAAAAAATTAATAATGATTTGGAAACCTTCTCAATTCTTTTGAGAAAAGTTCCAAATGATGATTAACCTTTTGAGCATTATTAAATACTATAAATATTTTACAAAGCCCAGAAAAAGTTTTTGGTGCTTGGTTCCTTTTTGATAAGCATTATCCATATATAATATCATAAATGCCAAGATATGATTTATATTAATCTTCTGGCAATGCCAATGTTTTTTGAAACTTGTCTCAGGGCCATTCCACGCGTAACGGATAGGACAGTTGCCGTGTTTTTATTTACAAAATAATATTGTTCTATTATATTACCAATGTCAAATTTTTATAAATTGTTCTAAACTAAAGCTGTTTAACAAGGTTTTTATTTGGCAAAATTAGGTATCATGGTTGACTGTTTAATTCCTTAAAAACTAATAATTTAAAGCGTAACGGACGGGACTTTGTAATAGTTAATTTCCGAGTTAATTTCTGTTAAGCCTGGAATGGCCCCTCAGCAGATGTCAATAAAATTGGTGATTAAAATATCAAATATTGGAGAAATATTAAAATTAAAAATAAATAATATTTACCCTTGTAAACACCATCAGTTTTTAAAGTTTGTGTAAAACATGATATCATATTTTTGTACAAATCGGGGAATGTCTGCATTTTTACCTTAACAGTATCTAAGGGTTGTCCTACATACACACAGGCAGCCCCAGCTTAAAAAAAAGCATTTTTAAGTCAACTTTTATTAAAAATGCATTGTCATTACATATTGCCAAATTTTACCAAGAAATATGAAGCAAATGTGAAGACATCTTGCAATATTAGGCAATAAATAAATAATAAATACCTAAAGAACCTGCTGTAAAGTCGATAAGCCCATCTTTAAAGTGTTGTGGCCTTTCAGGCATCTCTGTCATTTCCATATCAAATTTTATTTTGAAAGGCCCAATTCCAGTTTTTTTAACTTTTAATTTTAACCTAACTCTCTCCGCATTGCATTTGACGAAAATCGAGATTACGACAACTTAATAGGGACTGATAAGGATTAATTACATTTTAAATTTAATTGAGGTTAAGGTATCAGTGACATTTCACGTTTTTTTGACTTTTCAACAAGTGGCTGCAACCCGCAGTACAGTTTTTGATTGTTGTTTGTGTTTTATTTTATTCATTAAAATAATATTTATAAGTTTTTGTATTTTTTTCCAATTAAATCTGTATGATTAAACAAATAAATATAAAAAATAGCCAAGGATTAGATAAGAATGTTATTTAAAAATTACATCAATTTAGGGTTTTTATGTTTTTCAGTTGGCATTTCGTGTGTCAAATGAGGTTGACGTGGAGTGCGAGTTGTCAAAATATTCGTTATATTTATTTATTTTGTGTTTTTTATTCTGTTAAAGTAAGTTTTTACCTTCCAAAATTACAGAACAATTAATTCAACATCATATAAAACCAAAATCATCACAAAAAAAAATTATATTAGATTTTATATAGCCAAAATACCTTGACATATTTTAAAATGTCATACAATTTTGTAACTATTTTACAATTCCAGATACCCTTAAGCTAATATGTCGTCAATAAACAAAGACCCTGACCCGGGGGGGTCACAGGGGGCCTCGAATCGCGAAATTACCGATCTTAAGGATCAAAATGAGCAACAACAAGTTTTAATAGGTAAGTAAATTTAAAACATACTAGAAATACACTATAAAACGTGGTTATTTTAGCCCAATTGAAGGAAATGTTAAGGAAAACGGACCAACAGACAAACGTAACCGAAGATAAGATGCAGGAGTATATAAAAACATTGAATCGTAAAAAGAATAATAAGTTGAAAACAGGTGATGTTATTTCAGTTAATATTGATTCCAACAAGAAGGAAAGGCTTAATTTGTTAAGGCAACAGATGGAGGAGAATAAGTAATGCTTATTTTATTGTAAATATATAAAATTGTGAGTGTTTTTTATTTTTTTAGGGCCAAATTAGCTGAAAGGGGTAAAAGTCAAAAAGGGCTTGAAGAAATGGTTTCACAACTTACTGTACAGTTAAATGATTCACAGAATTTAATCAGTCAAAGTTCATTAAATTTATCAATACAAGAGGGAAAATTAGTTGATTATTCTAGAAATACATCACAAGATGAGTTATATAACATTCTTTTAACAAAAGAAAAAAAAATTACTGAATTGGGTGTAAAGGTACAAAAGTTAGAGGGGAATGTTTTGGATTTAGAAGAAAATTTAAAAGAAAAAGACTCTGTTATTGATGCTAGGACAAAAGCTATAACATTAATGACAGAATCGTTAAACAAAAAAGGAAAATCCACTTTGGATGAATTAGATGAAACCAAAGAGCAAATGAAAAAAATGCAGGAAAATTTTGTTTCTTTGGAACAAGATATGAAATCAAGACAACTCAAGTTACTTGAAGATCTTAAAATGAAGAACAATGAAATATTGGATCTTCAAGAGTTAAATGAGAAGCTTGAAAATGAGAAGGAAGAACTCAAAAATCATTTGAAAGAAAAACTAAAAATTATAGAAGACCTAAAGATAGAAGAAACTCCCAAAAAAGAAGCAAGTCCCAAATCTTCACCTAGTAGAAACAGAAAAAACAGAAAGGGCAAAAATCAGAAAAAAGAAACTACCCCACCTGCTGAAGATATTGATGTCAGCAAAATAACATCAGAGCTGGAAGAAATGAAGAAACAAAATGAAGATTTGCTAAAGAAAAACGTTGATATCACCAAAATAATATCAGAACTTGAGGAATTGAAAAAGTTAAATGAAGATTTGCAGAAGAAGAACCTTGATATTGCTGAAGAAAACAACACCCTCAAAGAAAGATGCCAAAATATAATGGAAGAAAACGAAGGTTTTGTGAAGAAAATCAAAATTTTAGAGCAAGAAACAACTGAAAGTTTGGAAGAATTAAATCAGCTCAAAGATAAAATGCGCGAAAAAATCATCACTGATTCTTCATCGAGTACAACTGAAGAAAGTGAGGTTGCTAAATTTAAGAAACAAATTGAAGAGAACAATAAGAATATGATTAAAATTAAGGCTCAAAATAACAGCAAAATAAAAGAACTAAATAAAAAATTGAACACATTCAAGAAGATGAATGATGCCAATGCCTTAATTCTTCAATTGCAAAATGAAAACTCCAAGTTGGAACAAAAAATCGCAGAATTGGAAGATGAAAAGGGCAATCTTCAATTAAAGATGGTGGAGTCCACTGAATCAGTTAAAGATGAACCTTTAAAAGAAATAATCTCAAAGCTAGAGGTTGATAAAAAAGATCTTGAAGAAAAAATAGAAACATTACAAGAAAAAATATCAAGTTTCACTCAAGTGCAAACTCAACAAGTACAATCAGAAATATCAAGCATTCAGTTTGAAGAAAAACTGGACCTAATAGAAAAAGAAAAGGAAGCTGTTATAACAGAAAAAGAAGATCTTGAATGTAAATGTACAGAACTAACAGAAAAATTGGAAAGTTTAACAAAAGAAAAAACTGAATTGAGTGCCAAACTAGAGAACTACATTCAAGAAAACATGGAACTTATTGATAAGTTAGAAAAACTCTCAGCAGAAAAAGTATCTTCAGCAGAAAGCATAGAAATAGTTGAAGGTCTAACCCTTCAAGAAAAACTTGATTTTGCTGCATATGAGAAAAATATGGAAGTTTCTGAAGATCTAAGAATGGAATCCTCAGATACCCCCTTGGATCAATCTTCAGAGCCACCAGAAGAACTCAACCAAACTGTTCTTCAACTAAATGAAGAAACAACAGAACTCCTTCAGAAAATTGAGATGTTTAATGTGGAAAGAAAGGAGGTTATGTTGAAATTGGATGCTCTTAAAGAAGAAAACGAAAAATTAATGGAAGATTTGAAGGAGTTTGAGAAGATTAAGGAAGAAAATTCGCAAATGAGCGTCCAACTGAAGCAAGTTGAGAATAATAGGGATGTTCTTGAAGAAACTTACGAGCAATTGCAGACTGAGAAGGAAGTTTTAGAGAAAGAAAAAGATGATTTAATAAAACAACTAAAAAATGCTACAATTAGTGATAGATTAAAGGACCTACAGCATAAATGTGAAGATTTGATTAAAGAAAACGAATCACTAAAAAAATCTCTTAAAAAAGCAAATGAAGATGTGTCGGAAAAAGATACAGACCTCCTCAAAAAACTCAGTGAAGCCAAAACCGAATCCTTAACCCTTGAAGCAAAACTTAAAGATTGTCTTGAAGAAATCGAAAACTCCAAGGTAGTAATAGAAGAAAATAAAGAAGAATTGATTAATTCCTCAAAAATAATCAACCAAATGCAAGTCAAAATAGACGAAAAAGAAGAAATTATAAAAGAAGATAAACAACAACTAGAAGAAATGACCAACAACATAGAAGATCTTAATGATACTATAAATGAATTAAAGAAATTACACGAAGATAAAGATGAAGAAATAGACGTTAAATACAACGAAAACATAAACAATTTGGAAGAGCAATTGAAAGAATTAAAGGAATCTTTGAGTAGTCAGATTGAACAAGCTGATGAGTATGAAAAAGAGTTGAATGAATGTCACGAAATTATAACCAAATTAAATGCAGAATTGAAAGAGTTGAATTTAAGAGTTGCAAATTATCAGGAAATGTTGCAAAATAAAGATAAAGAACTTGAAAAGTATACTGAAGATATTTCTGAGCAAGAATCTTTCATCAAGGGTTTGGAAAATAGCATCCATGAGAAAAATAATGAACTGAGTAATAAAGAAAAAATGGTTGTCAACTTAACCCAAACTATATCAGAAAAGGATGAGAAGTTTAACAATTTAACCACAGAGTTGACAGAAAAATTCCTGAATTTACAGCAGCAAATGAATAGCAATAATGGAGTCCTAGAGGGAAAAATAATTGAATTGCAAACCAAAAACAAAGAATTGTTGGAAAAATTAAAGAAATACGCCGCCAATTTGAAGAAGAAGACTCAGGACTACAAAGATTTAGAAGCCAAATTAGCTTTAAATGACAATCAAGAATTTAAAAAACAAATGAGTGAATTGCAAACAAATCTAGAAAAATTAACGCAAGAAAAGCAAGAGTTAGAATCCAACAATGTTCAACTACAAAACACAATTTTAAGCCTCAAAGAAGAAAGAACCAACGAAAAAGAAAACACTCTTAGTTTGAAGCAAGAGTTCTCCAATATCCACGAAAAGAGCGACGATTTTGATAATGCTGATCTCGCCAAGGATTCCAAAATAAAAGAACTTGAAATGATAATAGAAACACAGGAAAATGATATGGCTGAGTATAGAGAGAAAATTAGTAGGTTGGAAGAAGGTATTTCAGTATTGGAAGAACGAAGATTAAGTTTGGAAAGGACGAATGTTGCTCTTGGAGACAAGCTTACTGAAAGTAGTATATCATTTGAGGAGAAATCTTTGGAGGAAGAGCAGTTAGAGCAAAAAATGGGGGCTTTAATACAAAAAGATGATGAGTTGACTAAGAAATTAGATAATTTATCTATGGACAATGAAGAGTTAACTCTAAGAAATACGGAATTGTGTCAAGAACAATGTAAATTGGTAACAAAAATAAACGATTTGGAAACCCAGCTATGCAATGCTCAGCAAGATCTAGAATTTACAAAAGTTGAGCTACAAAAACCAATTAGCAATCTGGAAAATCAAATTAGAATTCTACAGAACGAAAAGGATATGTTTGCTAAAAAATACAAGGAAGAATCTGAAAAATACGAAAACGAAATACAAATCCAAATGGAAGAATTAATGAACATCAAAAACGAACTCACCATCCAAAATGAAAAACTCCTCGAAACTGTGCAAGACCTCAGCGAGAAAAACAACGAACTACACAGCCAAATAGAAGACTTAAAAGAAAAACTAGAAGACACCACCAAATCAGACCAACTTCAAGACCAAATAAAGCAACTTAAAAACACCGAAGCACTTTTAAAACAAGAAATTGAAGATCTCAAAATCGACCTCCTGAAAAAAACTGCCATAGAAACAGTTGATGAAGTCATCACCGAAGCTAAATCGCAAGTAGATTCGAAAGAACCCGAAGTTAAAGCTGTCCCTACCTTCAACTGGGACAGCTTTAACCCTCAGCAGCAAACCGAAGCTAACGACTGGTTTGCTGTTCAAGAAACCGCACAAAAGCAACATGCTGAAGCTAGTCAAGCTGAAATTAAAGCCCCAGTGGATAATACCAGTGAAGAGCTTCAGAAAAAGATCAAAACCTTGGAGTTTATGCTATATAATGTTGAAAAAGAGAAGGATAACGCTTTACTACAATGCCATGGGCTAACCAATGAGTTAACACGTTTGGTGTATGAAAGAGAGCAAAATATTCCTCCACTAGGTGGAAATCTGGATGGTTTGGAGGCCCAGGTTGTCTCCATTGAAGATACTACAGATAATAAAGACTTAAGAGGTTTAGAATTTGAAGCTACTAGGTCAGTTAAAGTAGGTAATGCTGAAGTACCAATAGTTGAAGATTTAGTTATGAAGAAAGAAGCATACAAATGCTTTATAGATGAAGAAAGACTAGAAAGTATTCCAGGTTTGGAAGCACAAATAGTGCCAATGGGTGAAGACATTGACGATATTACAGCACTGCGAAGTTCTGAATTCGAACCTACATTAAGTTACCATGAAGCTAATCCAAACGCACCAATTGTTGAAGATTTAGCAATGAAAAAAGAAGCATACCAATGCTTTAAAGCTGGTGAAGATGATGCTAGACCAGAAGATGGTCTTAAGGATAGCCTTGGTAAGTTTTTTGGTGTTTTTTTTAATATGTTGATTAATATAACGTTTAGAATCACAAATAGTATCAATGAGTGACAGTATGGATGACAGAAGAGCTCTACAAAATCTGGAATTCCAACCAACCTCTAATTATCATGAAGCTAATCCTGAATCACCAAATTTTGAAAATTTAGCAATGAAAAAAGAAGCATACCAATGCTTTAACCCTACTGAAGATAATGTAGCACCAAAGAATACTTTTGGTGATCCCCAAGGTACATTTTTTAATTCTAAATCTTTACAAAATCACATTTTCTTTTTTTTAAGGTTCTTCATCTTTAGAAGGCCTAATTGTGGACGATAACGATGATGGTTGGGGTTGGGGCCCTGAAGAAGCCAAAAAAGAAGAAGCCTACATGCTGAAAACATCCGCCGTAACTGAAATAAGCGAGCTGAAATCACAAGTCGACTCCCTGAATGAGCAAGTGCGAGTTTTCCAGTTGGAAAGGGAAAGTCACCTTGAGGAAATTAAACAATTGCAAGTTAAGTCTGGTAAATTGATTAAAAAGTGTAAGGAATTTAAGTTAAAGTATGAGCAAATCAGTAAAAAGGAGTCATCAGCAGCTGTATCTAAAGATGATGACTTTTTTAACTTGGATAACGCGATACAGGAAGAATTAAAGGTGCAAGTTGAAAGACTGGAGAAGACTGTAAAAGATGTCACTTCTGAGTTGGAAAAAGAAAAGTTGGAAAAATTGATGTTAGTTAAAAAAGTTGACACTCTTACCACTGCGAACGAAAAATTCGTCGAAATTAAGGAAAGACAAGATTTTGAACTGATGAATTTGCAAAGAAAATACGACGAACTTCAAAATGCAGATTGGGGTAATCCAAATGTTACCCCAGAGAAAAAAACTGTAAAATTTGAAAATACGAATGAAGAAAATAGTCGGAAATATGAAGAATGTCGTCTGCAAGTTGAAGAATTAAAAGAAACAATTAAAGATATAATGCTTGATAACGAAGAGTTGCAATCTTTGCTGGAAGAACAGAAAAATCTAAGAAATAAAGCTGAGAGTAAGCTAAAGAACCTCACGGTTGCTCAGGATAATGTAAGAAGTGAGGAAGAGTTTATAGATGTTTGTAATGAAAAACAAAAATTGGAGAAAGAGTTAGAAAACATAAAGGTACAGAACAGACAACTTGAAATATCATTGAAAAGCAACAAAAACCTTGAAGATGAATATTCCGTATTACTTAACACAAAAAACGATTTTGAAAATCAGTTACAACAACTTAAAGACAACTCAAAAACTATACAAGAGTATGAAGTTTTACTAAACGAAAGAAATAACTTAAAAGAACGATTCGATGATTTAAATCAAAGATATGAAGATGAGGTATTGGATAGGAGTAACCTAGAGGCGAGATACCAACATGTAGGAACGAATTATGAGAATATAACCAGGGAAATAACTGAGCTGAGGAATGATAAGGAGGAACTTTTGAGTGAGGTTTCAAATAAGGATGCTTTATTGGAGAATATAATGCAAGAGAAGTTGGAATTGGAAAATCAAGTGAGGGTTTTGGAGGATAGAGTGGAGGAAATTGTGATTTTGCAGGACAAAATCAACATTTTAAAAGAAAAGAATCAGGATTTAGCCAACCAATTATCCAAAAGTGATGCTGTTGTTCAACAAAGTTCAGTCTTTGAAGTAAACAACCCAGCTTCATTTTTCGACGAAATTGCCATACCAACTGAAGAAAAACATCCTGATAATGAAGAAACACTTAAACCACGTTCAGAAGTATCAGATCTAGAAAATAAGTTGCTAGATACAAGTGAACAAAACCAAAATCTGAACTCCCAAATACAAGAACTGAAGTGTGCCAATACCGCTTTGCTGGAAAACGAGCAGCAACTACTGGCAACGTATCAAAAGAACCTGGAAATTACAGTGGAAGATTTGAATAAAAAATGGGAAGAAGAGTGCATCAACAGAGGAGACGTCATAGCTGAAACATGGAAGCTACATCTAGAGACGGTGGAAACGGAATTCGCGCATGTACGGTCAAATTTTAAATATACATATACAGAATGCACTTAAATCTTGACTTTCAGGTACGCAACAAGCTACAGGTGGAAGTGAACGATTTGGAGGAGAAATGTAATGGTTTGGTGAACGAAAATAACGAATTAAGGAAGAATGTGGATGCTGAAATCAGGAATGAGGTGGACAAAATTTCGGCGTTGCAGTTGCAAATAACAAACGGTCAAAAATCAATTGCGGAGTTGTCAACTTTACTGCAACAAAAGGATATTGATTATCAGCATCTACAAAACACTGTTATGGTGAGTTAAAAGATGTTTTTTGGTGGAATTTATTGTGTTTTTTTTGTGTTTAGATGTTGCAAAGTGAAGTTGATCAGTACAAGGTATTACTGCAAGAAAAAGAAGCTAAACTGGACGGTATAAATGTTGTAATTGAAACCACTATGAAACAATTCGATGAGAAACGAGAGGTTGTAGAGGAAGTAGTGAAAATTTTGGAGAAAAATGCTGGATACGTATTGAGTTTTGATAAATTAGACATTGTAAGTGAACTAGAGCAACAATTAGGGTCTAAAAATGCCAAGCTACAGGAACATTCTGCTGTAGTAAAGAATCTTGAAGAAACAATATCAGATTTAACGCAAAAACTGAATACTTTGAAAGAAATAAAAAAAGATAACAAAAATTTGGAATTGGAGTTAAACCAAGCTAAATCCGACTTGTTGATGCTTCAAAACTCACTGCAAGAAACACAAAGAAGCCTGTTTGAAACCGCTCAAAACTACAGCGAAAAATCTAAAGCATTTGATGATCTACTATTGGAAATGCAAAATTTGGAGGAATATAAAGTTAAACTAGAAAAATTAGAAAAAGAACATTCTACTTTAGCAAAGAATCTTGAAGAATCTAATCAACAAATATCTGATTTGACGCAAAAACTGCTTGCTTTAGAAGATATGAAGAACGATAGCAATATTGGTGTTCACAATTTGGAATTGGAGTTAAACTCTCTGGAAAAAACACAAAAAAGCCAAAACTACAGCGAAAAATCTAAAGCATTTGATGATCTATTACTGGAAATGCAAAATCTACAAAAACTGTATCAAAGTAAAGAAAACGAATGCCTTAATTTACAAAGTTTATATGAAGATAAATGTCAGGAATCATCACAGTATGTCGAGGAAACATACAAAACCCAAATCAGACAACTGGAAAATCATTATGAGAACATCCTGATGGAAAAGCAAAACGATTTTGACGCCTTAAAGTCCATGAACGAAGACTACCAAATGCGAATAGAAACCCTTAAATCCTCTGATCAAAAACTACAAGAACATCAACAATTCGAACTGAAATGTGCCGAATTAGAGCACCACATAGGAGAATTAAACGCGTATATTCAAGGCCAGAATGAAAGAATAGAGCAACAGAACTTAACAATTGAAGAAAGCAACAAGCAAGTTGAAGATATGCAGGTTATTATCGAGCAACAAGTCGCCAAAATTGAGGAATTGAGGAAGGAAGTTTTCAGTAAGAGTAACGAGTTTGATTCATTTGTTGCACAAATGGAGAATATTATACCTGGTGGTACAATAACCAAACAACCTCTAGCTTTGGTAAGTATTTACCATCTAAAAAATGCTTTATTTTAAAATTTAAATCCTTGTACCTAACTTTAGTTGGCAGTTATACCTATTTTAGGTTAACATTATTTGGATATATTTTAGGTTAACATTATTTGGATATATCCACAATCACAGAATCCAATGGATTGTGGATATATCTATCCAAATTTTACATTTTTAAAACAGTTACTTTTAGCTTAAATTGACATTCTTAAGTTATATCTAGCTTGAGTTGACATTCTTAAAAGGTAAGGGTATTCCTATAAAAATACGACATTACATTAGAAAGATCGTAATTTTAATGGTACACCCTAAAATTTTTACCATGATTTAATAATTTTTGTTGATGTTACACAGGTTTTTGTAAAACCTTACATAACTTCTACTGGAATTTTAAGGGTATGTCGATAGAAATACGGCATTTTTGTAAATTCCATCAACAAAATTGTAGTTTTGTTGGTGTGTAACCTTACAATTTGGGAGCCAAAATGTCAAAATCGTAAGTTCCACTGTTGGTGTTCTTGGGTACCCTTGTGGAAATTTTTCTCTGAGAAAGTCTTACTTTCTCTGAAAAAGTCTGAATAATACTTATTAAGTCGGAAAAAGTCAGAATAAGACTTATTGTGGAAATTTTTCTCTGAGAAAGTCTTACTTTCTCTGAAAAAGTCTGAATAATACTTATTAAGTCGGAAAAAGTCAGAATAAGACTTATTAAGTCGGAAAAAGTCTGAATAAGTCTTATAAGTCAGACTAATAGCAAGATTTGGGAGTCTTCTGGAAGAGTTAATAAGACTTTTTAAGACTTAATAAGACTTTTAGTAGAGAAATGGTAGGTACCTACGGAGATAAAAATAAATATCCGAAATAATTCATAGAGGTTGTATTTGGTTATCGTAAAAAAAAACACATAGAAAAGTATTTATTAACATTTTTGCTGTTGTTATAAGCCAAGTTTATTGCATAATTACCTATATAATAACATAGGTAAGATGTAATAATTAGGTATAACAATTATAATTTTATACATACGATGCGCTTGACATGCATGCTTCCACCATAGAAAAAGGAGTTGCCACTGTACGTTTTATTTTAATAGTTTCTTTTGATACACGCAAATATTTACCTATTTAAACATTGTTACAAACAATAGACGTAAGACGTAATATCGAGAGACCAGCTTAGCTAGCTGACCAATTAGAGCACAGCTGACCTGTCAGTGGGACACAGTGTTGCCGTTTGCAAGTATTTTACTCGAAAATCGGGTATTTTCATAATATTTGCGGGTGATTTGCAAATTTCTATCAAAATAATAACAAAAGAAATTTTCAGTAAATAATATTGTATATTTACTAAATAAGTATGCACAATTATTTTATTCTATCTTGTTACATTTTTATTAATATTTTAGTATTTTGTAATTTATGGTCAGGAACTTTTATGGCAACACTGTACGAAAACACGAAGATCAACCATGATACAAAGATGAATGAAACACGAAGATCAACCATATTTGTTATGTTCGGTGCATATTTGTCTTACGAGTCTATCGAAAATATCATGTCTATAGACTTGATATTAACTCCTTTTTCTATGTTGGAAACAATGAAAGCATGTTAAGCGCATCGTATGTATAAAATTATAATTGTTATAATTATTACATCTTACCTATGTCAGTATATAGGTAATTATGCAATAAACTTGGCTTATAACAACAGCAAAAATGTTAATAAATACTTGTCTATGTGTTTTATTTTACGATAACCAAATACAACCTCTATGAATTATTTCGGATATTTATTTTTATCGCCATAGGTACCTACCATTTCTCTACTAAAAGTCTTATTAAGTCTTAAAAAGTCTTATTAACTCTTCCAGAAGACTCCCAAATCTTGCTATTAGTCCGACTTAATAAGACTTATTCAGACTTTTTCCGACTTAATAAGTCTTATTCTGACTTTTTCCGACTTAATAAGTATTATTCAGACTTTTTCAGAGAAAGTAAGACTTTCTCAGAGAAAAATTTCCACAAGGGTATACTGATAAAAATATGACTTTTGTAAATTCTATTAAAAAGATTGTAATTATATTGGTATTAAAATTTCATAAAGATTCAATAATTTCTTGTGATAGTTACATAGGTTTTTGTAAATCTTACATGTTGGGCGCCAAAATGTAAAAAATCATGGCTTCCACTGTTTTAAGGTGGAATTTTAGGGGTGGGTATACTAATGAAAATCCGAAATTTTTGTAAATTCCATCAGAAAGATCGTAATTTTATCGGTATACCCTTTATTAGGTATACCCTTTAATTACCACCTCGGTAGGACTGCCCGCCTGGAGATTTTTTGGAGGAGGTAAGTGATTAAAGCTGGATTTGTACTCAACATGATGTAGTTAAAGAGCCAATATTTTGGTCAATACTTTCATAATCCAGTCTTACTTTAGAGTCTACATTTTTCTTTGCGCCGGTCCTTAAGTTGTCCAGGAATGGTACTTGGTTGGAACAAAAGTTTCATTTCAAATAAGTGAAAAACGCGTTCGAAGGTTAGGGGACAATGTCCCCGGGTCATCCATTATTTACGTGAGATAAAAATAAGACGGAGCATAATATCACCAAATCTCATTTTAAGGGAGGGGAGGTCATTAAAAATCTCACGTCAACTTTTGAGTTTAAAAAATATGTAATATACCCTAATTCAATTTTGGGGTTTATAATGTGGTCCGCAAAAAAGCTTCATGGCTAGAATTTCACGTGAGGGATAGGGGTAGGTTTACAACACCTCACCAAGGGGAGGGGGGTCTAAATTATCACAAATTAAGTATTTTTTTTCACCACAGCGCTGATTGTCAATGCGTATTGGCGTCTGCTGTTTTGGTAGCGTTTCGGTACAAATCAAAGAATCAACGCAAAACCAGCGCCCTCTTATCTTAGGAAGATTTTTTTATATTACTGTATTATAAGTTCGGACCCCTCGTGTAGGTTCCATGATCTGACCGAAGAATTTCTCCAGGTCAACAGATTTTACAATGTAAAATTTAAATAATTATTGGGAAACGGGAATGGTCAAACAACGAATTATAGAGTTTAGTTTGACATATGACATCTGTTGGGATTTTAGCTATAGCCTAAACATCGGTTGTAATTGTAACTTACGATGTCAAATTCGACTATATAATTCGTTTTTTAAACCATCCCTTTTTTCCCAGTCAAGGAGAAAAATTTCTCTCTCAGGCTCAGAGACTCTTTGACAAAGAGGTGGTTACCCTAACCCTAATAGCCTGACATATCTATCTAATTCAATTCAATAAATCTGAATATAGAGTATCTCTGTCCCAGGTAGCACAACGTAACGAAATCTTGACGTAAACGAGACGTTTTCAGTCAGTCGTGACTTGGACGTTATTTAAAAATCGTAACGTATTTAATTAAAAACAGTTGCCAAACCGCGCTAAATTTAAGCATAGTTTTTGTGACGAATACGTTACATTAATATGAATAAAAATCTTCACGATGTAGTCAAGAATACGCCACGGATTCTTCACGATGATTTGTCACGGTTTCGTCACGACGCTTCGTTACCGAATAGTGAACTGAACTGGTCACGTAATTGTGGCGTATAGTTGCATTATTTGGGGGTGTAATAATATTGTGTAGTGTAATGCAGTGCAGTACGGTATAGTGGGTTGTTTTGTGTATTGTGGAATTATTGCTTACCTTCAAAGTTTTGTAATTTGATTTTAACCTCATCATCAGGTTGAAATCAAATTACAAAACTTTGAAGGTAAGCAATAATTCCACAATATACAGAACAACCCACTGTACTGTATTGCACTGCATTACACTACACAATATTATTACACCCCCAAATAATAACATATTGTTGTTAGGATTGTTTAGTTTTGCAATGTTAATGCAAAGAAAGCACATTTAACTGAATTATATTTTATTAGAAAAACAATAAAAACATATTCTACAATAAACTATAATATATATTATATAGAAAAACACTAACAAAATAAAAAAATATTACTCTTATACAATAAAAATACCTCCACTTTTGAAAACCAGCAATAATTGCAATTAGTTTTCAAAATTCATATCTTTGAAAAAAAAATTAAATTATTTTTCTATTTTAAGGATAAAACAGTACCTACACAAAAATATAATTCTCCTGTAGAATAAAACACTATTTTATTAGAATATACCTACCTAATATAAAAAACAGTAAAACAAAATAAACAAGTATTTCTCTTATAAATTAAAAAATGAAATGAATGAAGTCAATTAATAATTATTAATAATTATTAATTATTAATTATAATTCATGTAGTATAAAATTTTTATTTTATTTCTGCAGTTTCTTTAACTGCAACATTTATTTATAATAAACTTACTTAAATAACACTAGGGTTCAGCTGAAGTACAAACCTGTGATTTCATCTTATCATATGTATGCTTAATGTGCATAATGTGCTTTTCAACGTCATCCTTTGTAATATTTCTTTCCCCCGAGACAACCCAAGACAATTGTGTTTGCCATCAATATGTCTTTTAGTCTAAAGTTTTCGTTCGCCCCTATCCAGATGTGTGGAGTGTGTCCAGAGTGTCGACTGTAAAACAGTGTATGTTATGTTGGTTACCAATTTTTTAATTTAAATTGACCTGCAAAATGAGAAGAAATAAGTAGTTTTCTCCATGGCTTTGTTAAATTTTATTTCACGTACAAAAAAATTTATTTTTTCCTCTTTCAGTAGAAATTCAACTTAAAATATTTAAGCTATAATAATAAATTTGTTAAGGATATATTAACACACTAAAAATGTTGTGGTTACTTATATTTTGTTGCTACAGCAAAACATTTCTTAGATTAGTGTGGAGTTGTTTAGCATTGCAGACAATTGTCTTAAGCTACTGAAATATAGAAAAGCAAAAGTACTTACGGTTTTAAACTATCCTTTTGTTTACCATTAAAAACTTTGCAGAAATATAG